AAGGGTGAGGTAGATGACTTTATAGAAAGTCTAGTAAATTGTATTTATTGTCCTAAATGTAAATTTCTAATTTAGAATTTGATTAAAGTTAAATAGTGTAGAATCTTCATCAATTATTTCGCTACGGAATAGAAAGGTTGTAGTAGATTAATACGAGCGGAGTTTCATAACTAATAGACAAGGTCGTGACGCTTCTAGTAACGTTGCTCATGTTTATGAATGAATGCACTGAATATTTGTGATGGTCACACATGCTAATGGTAGCGAAATTAAGCAAAATATACCTAAATAGCATTTATACAAACAAACAAACCCAACTTTATATATATTATAGCCTTATTTAATTCCTTATTTTTTTACTAAGGACCTATGTATGAGTAAAGGTCTCCTCAAATTTGCTCCAATGCATTCTGTAATTTGCTTCGGCTATCCAGTCGCAGAAATAAGAAGAACAGGTTTAATATAGTTGAAGCTGATAAACAGCTTCGATCGATCCCCCGTTCAGTTCAAACGGCGATCCATATTACGACGGTCTGAGCCGAGATTCGAACCTCTAGGGGTGCCTCGTTAATTATAACTAAATTACGTAACTAAATTCGTATCTGTCAGGCCATTGTTCACCTTCAGCCGCTCCATAAGTTCTTCCGCGGATTTGAAGTGCCATTTGCACTCGCCCCCTATCGTCCGATGGCGCTGTAAAGGCCAGTTGCGGCATTAGAAAAGGCTTTATATATAGATACATCTATAATACTATAAAAACAATGAAAACATAAATTAAATCTTTTTATGGCAAACCTGTTCAATAGTTTTCTCAATATCTCTCACGAAACGGCAGATCAATAAACTGCGATCGACTCACTCAATAATCTAATAGTCTATAGTTATGGGAAAACGTATGGACAGACAAAGAGCACTTTCGCTGTGTATTTTCACGTAGATACATCGTAAGCTCAACAGTGATACTTGGTGGTTCGTGAGCGGTGCGCGCATGCAAACAACTTTCGTTTGCTATGTCGCATGTGTGATCAACATTTGTTTGTGTGCTATTGTTTGGATTATTGGATATTTGAACTTATCAGTGTGTGATCAGAGATGATTTATTGCAGTTTCATTTCAGTTTACCTTTTTTTGTTTGTCGATGGATGAATTTATTAGTAAAACACTTTTCCTAATACTACAAACTTGCTGACTTTGTGGCGGTTGAAAGTGAAAACATGAATTCGTTCTTATGTATATATGTGTATAATGATAAAAAAAATTAAATGAATATATTTCAGAAGTGACAGTATTTAATATGTAGTTTAGTTCATATATAAAAATTATTTAAGTGGTTATATAAAAAAAACAAAAATTAGCGATGACACAAAATAATATTCACCCGCCGCAGGGTCGGGTAGCGAGTAAATTCTTCAGAAAGAAGAATAAGAAGAATAAAAAATGTCAAAAGATAAAAGCTGGCACATACGCAGGAAGAGAACGGTAAAGCTCTTAATATTGTATTTTTATAATTTATGAATATGGAATCATCCTTCACTGATCAGCAATGCCGATGCAACCATCGGCATTGCTGATCAGTGAAGGATGATAGGACGAGCATGAAGTTCGATCAGTTAGAATTAAGGATGATGGTTTCTAGAAGGATTAAAACTAGCTAGTAGTAGCTTAGTGAGAACCCAAGTTTCTTATCCACCTGGAGTACACTTAATACCTTAATACTTGAATTACTTTAATATTATAGTAATGTGGTGGCCCTACAGTGATCTAAAATATCTGAGATACCCCCAGGTCCGAGAGGACCATGTTTCGAGAGGTTAGAGCGAATTATTAAAATTATCATTAAATTAATAGTGCCTTAAATTTTTAAATCAATTTAAGGCACTATTAATTTAATGATATTTTTGAACATGTAATATATTATACAAGTATTAACAAATAAAACATGAAAGTGGAAGATTTCTTTACAATTATTTAAGAAATACCAAAGAATAATTTTAGAAATATACTTTCAATGCAAAGTTCAAAAATGACATTCTAAACGAGAGCTACAAAATAAGACTTTTAAAAAATGATATACAAATCTATTAATAATATTATAAACAGAACTGTAAAATTGTTTCGATGTAGATCTGATTATAAATTGATAACACCTAAACGACCTTTTTTATTTAAATCAAATATAAATTAGAATAAAAATTTAATTAATTACATGTTTTATAATTCGTATCAATATTCAGGTAACTTTATATTCTAATTTATGCGGCCGAGTGCTAAATATAATCACAATATAAAGTGGCTGTTTTAGTCTCTAATTGAAGGAAAGATACGTGCCGAGGTACACTTTGTACTGATTCATTTGCGTAAAATAGGTTTTTATCAGGGTTAGGAGTTCCGCCGTCTCCGATCTTTTCCCAGTATGACTGAGCGGGATCAAAATTACGGCGGCCTGAGCCGAGATTCGAAACTCCTACCAGTGCCCTCCTACTGAAGTCAATCCTTCAGGTAGGAGGTGACCTTCAGCCGCTCTGTATGTCCTTTCGCGGGTTTGGAGTGCCGTTTGCACTCCACCCCTTGTTGTAGTTTCTAGAATTCTAGAACATAGTATAAGGAAGTAGTTAATTCACGGTTTAAGTGTAAGTACGGGCGGAAGCTCTTTTGAAATCGCATTGTCCGAGACTACTTAGGTTCTAGCGTGTGCCGATGAATTCCCTGTCGATGGTCAGCGGTACGAATGATAAAAGGTAGCCATAGGCATCATGTCGAGCAATTCTTCAGAACACAGTCCGTTGTATATTTGGTAGAACAAATAAAGCGTTGCCAGTTTGTATGACAATCTAATTATTAAAAATGGTGTGATTAAATTCAAGCCCACTATGAAATAAGCAGATCACCTCGCATTAATAAAAAGAAAACTAAAATCACTCTGCAAAATCGCATTTTCACCGTACATTAAGCGATTACGCAACTATTCTGACATAATTGTGTTGAATAACATAACATTACTTATATTATTAGAAGATTAGTACGTACAGCTTGTATGAAACACGTAATGCATTCAAAGTTATGAACCCACGACCCTGCAGTGAAACCGGCGCGAGATAAAAGTGAAATGTGAGACTTTCTATAGATACATGAGTGGGTTGGGCATAGATTTTATAATACCAGAGCAATGCATAATGACGTTTAGCTATGATCGCGTTTCATACAATTTTGTTATCTAGTCGCAGGCTTTTAAGTTCAAGATTACGTAGCCAGGATTGTATGAACGTCTAGACTTATTACTTTCTATATAATAATAGATTATAAAAGTGCTAGTCATTTTCAAGTAAAAACTCGATATCTTTAATTAGTTTATACGAGAGAGCAATTCCAAAGAAAATTGGTCAAGTATGACAAATAGGTATAGATGAAACTAGCAAAAAAAAAAATGTTTTTGTGTATTCAGAAAAGGTGTATCAAACAGTTAACGTTTGTTAACAAGCTTCCCATAATTCCCGGTTTAGCACACCACCTTAATTCCGATGGTCGCAGGTTCGATTCCTCTCCTCCACATTTTTATTATGTGTATAATTACTATGTATCGGTCTGGGTGTTTTATATCTATTATATATTAAGTATGTATTTACAAAATGGATTACAAGCTTAGGATTAGATGGCACTATGTTAATTGTCCAGGGATATATCTTATTAATATTATAAACGCGAAAGTTTATGAGTATAGATGGATGTTTGTTACCCTTTATGCTATTTAACTACTAAATGGATTTTGATTAAACTGTGCAATAATATATTTTAAAAATCCTAACATATTGGCAATAAATTTTATACGGGCGAAACCGCGGGTACAACCAGTATACAAAATGTGTGCGGATTGTTTACCTGATTTACAGATAATACAGACGTAAGAAATACTACGAGTATGTAGAATTGTGTATCATTATATGCAAATATTGATGGTGTGAATACAGTGTTATGTAAAATGATATAACTTTATTAATATCATTAAAACCTAATGCAATTATACTGTTTTGCAACAATTACCAAATGTCAGATAGTATCTCGTGAGAGCGACGACAATGGCGTCTCGAAATTGTAAGAAATAGCGCATTATGGATGTGAAAAGATAGCATTGTGTGAATGAATGATGAGGTATGAGTAATAAGAGATATTCTATAGGTAATGAATTAACGTTAACTGTACATTGACTGATAATTTCGTCACAATTATGTCTCTCAAGTCAGATCTACTGATATGTCCGATTCCATAATCCTAAGAGTGTTGCTGGTGCAGTGGTTGATTACTACCCCGGCTCCGAAGCTAGCGAATTAATACTTGGGGTTTTTAGTCATGAGGAGTCAGGGATTAGGCGTTTTGGTCCTCCGAGAGTGAGAGGAGATCTCTGTGACGGGATTTCGGTATCATCAATAATATGGTTAATCGGAACTTAATTTGAATAATTTTATGGTAAATAATGGTATTTATTTCTCTCAACGCATATTATCCATCCAATTGATTTTAGTTGTAGGTGTTTTGACAAAATTGATCTATGGACAAACAAAGCTCTCGATAACTGAAAGGGTTAAAGAACACATCGCATCTGTCAAATATCGTTAACCATGTTGAAACAAATTACTGCCGTTCTAGAACCGTTTTTTTTGTATTTGAATTGATATAAATTCGATACTGGTATCTTGCCAAATACGGTCACGAAAGCAAAAAGACAGTCTTACTTTACAAGTTCAATTTTTACTTTACAAGTTACAAAATACTTTATATTTGTCAAACATCATCAAGTTATGTTTTTTATTATTTTGTTATGGGAATAGCAAATAAGGTAACTTTGCTATGAACATGAACATAAACAGCACCTCGGATATCACGGTATCATGTAACGCCCATAATACCCCTCATGCGTTGCTATTCCAGAGGTCTAAGATGCCATATCTCTTATCCTGTAATTTCAGATAGATTTCCTTCATATTAAATATGCTGTTCTTTTGCAGTGCGAACACAGCGATGGACAATGACGTCACGCCGGTTTACCTCGCCGCCCAGGAGGGCCACCTCGCTGTACTCAAGTACCTCGTGTTGGAGGCCGGTGGACGCCTGGACGCGAGGGCGAGGGACGGTATGCTGCCAATACACGCCGCCGCGCAGACCGGATGCTTGGATTGCGTCAAATGGATGGTAAGTGATAGAAGTTGAGTTGGTTGTGTCAACCTTGATATTTGGAAGTTTGTATGCACGCGAATCGTGTTTTCCAGTTTTAAATTCAAATCATCTACTCAAGAACAGAAAAAAAATGAAACCCGTTCGTTAATAGTTAAAATTAGAATTAAGTTTAAGACATATAATAATAAAAAATAAAAAAATAGAAAAAACTTCTGGAAACATTTACGTATGGCATGGCTAATAATATTTTTTTTTTTCATCCCCCCAAACTATTTCATTCTTATTCTATACGCAGCATAAATTTCAAAGAACCATCACTAGAATCTAAACTAGGCCGAACCTGTACAACAGATACTGGTTTCTTCCAGCGACAAATAAGTTAAAAATTACATTTACATTTTAACTTAGTGTAAAATAACTTATGAAAATATTAATATGCAATACTGAACAATATTTATTTAAAAGAGCCCCCTGTTCTTCTAGTTATGTGTCTGCTTTTCGAATAAAAAAAGATTATTTAAAAATGCTTATATAATTTTTTTAAATAAAGACTATTATTTCTATAACTACATTATTTTATTGATTTTAGTGAGAATTAGGAATGTTAACATTTATATTAATTATGTTTATAATATAATCTGAAGATACCAGGGGTTAAATGTAAATCTAAATAGATAGTTTGAATTATAAAATATAAGTTTTATACTAAGAGTGTAGTGTTTATATAAATATACATACATAAAAGTCTCGAGTTCGAAACGGGCCGATGTGAATTTCAATTTTAATTTAATTGTTTCATTGATTGACACTACGGATGGAAACACTAGTAACTAACCATTATTGAGAGATGATGGCTCGCCCTTTGCCAAGGATTCAAATATACCGAGCGATATGTGTGAATATCAAGTGTTGCATTCACAACAACAACTGCAGTTTACAATGCCTCTGATTGGTCGTGAATTCTTGATAATATATAAGTTTTTTATTTAGATATTATCTATTTAAAGTGACCCGTTTTTTGACATTTTCTCATAAACACAGCTTATTTTGGATGTTATTTCTCTAGTTGTATGGATGTTTATTTAAAACTTGCTTTGGATGTTATTTCTGTAGTTGTATGGATGTTTATTTAAAACTTGCTTAGATTTTTTGAAACAGGCCAATATACTGTTACCAGTCTTTAAAAAGGTTTTCACCGCATCATTGAGTTAGTTTTAAAGTGTTCTTAGTGTTACCACAAACCGGTGGTTTAACATTAATCGTCTGACACTAAATGAAAGTAGGTATAGAACAGGTAACGTTATAATAGCGCAAGTTTAAATAGTAACCTGACTGATACTTATTTTTTTAGGTAAAATAAATCCTTTACAACTTAAGCACTTAACAATTTATGAAGTTTTTTTAATAAAATAATTTACATATTATACATGTACAAATGTACGTATTGTACGGGAATTGAACCTGCAATCATCGGCAGTAATTCCTTACTGCCGATGATTGCAGGTTCAACCTAAAAAAATAAGTATCAGTCAGGTGCTTAAGTGTTAAGGGGTGGGTTTTCGGTATTGGAATATAATAATCGTCAGGAGATTTCTTAGCATTAGTCGATATTTTAGCTTTTTTTTTTACTGAAAGACTAAATTATATCACGTAACATGTATTCGGATAAGTCGGTTAAAAATGTATCAGCGTTTTCAATATAATTAATTTGCTCTTGAAAATATATACATTTTTACACGTTTAAAACACAATAACACAGAATAATAGATTTATTCCTTATCACTAGTATTATTCACACTGCTAAATGACATAATGTAAATATGTAATGAATTCTAATTAAATTTAAAGTAGGATTATTCCTGACTAATATTAACATATAATAATAATTATTATAAATGACGAACTATTGGGAGATGTGCTAGCTTCAACATCTCTCGATTGAATGACTTCGTTCTGCGGATGTGTGTGACTCCCTCTACCGCGTTAACGCAACGACGAAAGTTGTAGTGTATATACCTATCTTATTCTAGATCGTGGAACGAAACGTGGATCCAAATGCGAGGGACGGAGATGGTGCTACTCCTCTCCACTTCGCCGCATCCAGAGGCCATCTGAGCACCGTACGCTGGCTGTTGAGGCATGGTGCCAGGCTACATCTCGACAGGCACGGCAAGAGTCCCATTAATGATGCCGCTGAAAATCATCACTTGGAGGTAGGACCACCATAGTAACATAAAGTATTAAGGTTTTACAAAGGCCGGCAACGCGCTAGTGACTCACCTGACTTTTCCGGCTTTCATAGGGTACGGTAAACTTTAATCATCAGTTGGGCCGTACACTAGTTTACTACAAACAATCACACTCATAAATTCAAATGTTGCTATCGTGCGAGGAATCGATTCCGCGACCGTTGGAAGTAAAGCGGTGTACAATTCTTTTATGCATGATAATGGAATGGTGCATCCGCTTGCGTTATCGGCACCAGTGGAAGATGATAAGATGAGCATGAGGTCAGATCAGTTAGTCCATCGTGACAAATTCACCAACCATTTCCAGGGGGAACCGCGTGGAGGTCGACCTGACGTGGTACATTGCTAGCAATAAGATCATCAGTCCACATTACTAACAATCCCCTTTCCCCCCAGATAGTCAGTTAGATAAAAATCCTTATCATAGGGATGAAATGGAATTCTTATGGAAATTTGTAAATTAACCTTGTTATCACAAGCGTCTAGTAAACATTCCACTTACAATACATAATTGTAACAATGGCGTGTATTCCTTGTTGAAGGTGTAATTACACGGTATCGCTTTCTACCGTGTCTATGGTCAGGTGTAATCGCGGGCATAGACAATAGAGTAATGCTCACGTTTGGAAAGTATCAGTTTTCACTATGTCACAGTCTGTTGTCTTTCATGTAATTTGAATTTAAAATTGTACATGAGATGACAATAATGTTGCCGATGAATTTATTAATAACTAGCTAATCCGACATACGTTGTCTTGTCTTACCTATGAATAATGAATACGCAATTAACTTTTCTACTATTCCGTGCGACTTACAACAAAAAAAAAGAATTAGCAAAATCGGTCCAGCCATTCGCACGTGAAGCCGTGACCAAGGGATATAGGGATTCAATTAATCGAAATAATCAATATTTATTCATGTAGATCTATTACGGATTCTTATGATATGTCAAAGCTACCGTCAGTTCGTAGTGCTTTCGAGCCAAGAAGAACTGGCAAGGAATTCGGCTCTTATTCTTTTCAAAAGAACTTGTGCATGTTTACAAAAAAAAAATTGTTGAGTTTCTTGCGAGTACTTACTCTATTGAATTAATAGACAAAAACTTGACGTTCATAAGCGGCTAAAATGTCCTACATGAATAATTTGATTTGATTTGCAAAAATACAGATACATTTTCAAATTAAAATTAAGAATAGAGTGAATACCAGCATTAATTATTGCAATTTTGTCAAAAGGAAATAGACTATTCAGTGGCAGTAACCCGAACAAACCGGTCCCCATAAGTAGATTAACGTTTATACATATGAAATAACTATTTCATGTTAAGTTATTTTACCAAACCAAAACTATTACAGCCTAATAAACTGTGTATGAGTATCAGTGTAATTTAGTTTAGTAAATGTTTCGCCGAGGTGGACTTTGTGTAAGTTTGCGTGAGTACTTTTGTCTCGCCTATATCAGCTGTCAAACATCCTGCTTTGTAAGATGTGTTCGATTGAACAATGAGAAATTACAGGGTAACATCATCACACCGAAGTCCCTCGGAATGGCAAAGTGTGAGAACGCATAAGTGGATCGCGGGTGTCACATGATAACGTAATTGTACCGACGTAAACGTTCATATATCACATACATAGTACGAATATTAGAGAAAATCAGACATTTTGGAAAATCCACTTTAAATATTTAGCTTTTAAAGTCTACCGACTTACCATTAGATGGCAGTCAGCTCGTTTAGCAATAATATCTTACTAAAATTACTAAAATACTATAAACGCGAAAGTTTCTGAGTATGTATGGATATTTGTTACTCTTCTATGTAAAAACTACTGAACAGATTTTTATGAAATTATGAACTGAAACTTCTTATATATTAACAATAAAATTCGTGATATTCTTGGCTTATGCATTATAATTTGTAAGATAGTTAACGAAATTTGTCAATTTTTAATATTTGACGTGTGAGTAATTTTATCAGAAAGCGTACCTTAATTATATTTTTGAGAAAACCATTTGACGATATTTGAAGTTTTTTTTACATATACAGATATCGAACCGACATAAAACGGAATAAGATTCTCAAATTTGTATTTATATTATTTTGTTTCTACATATTTTTATGTATGTATTACACAAATTTACCTTACGATATCGAATCTTCGTTAATTTAGACATACATATACTATTTTATAATGAAGTGCTTATGATATGAAGTCGCGGACAAAACCCAGTTAACAATAATTACACGTGAAGTAAAATAAATAACATAATTTCTTCATATCTAACAAAACAATTGCTGTTTCATCGTTAATTGCGACAGATTATAAAATACAGAATATAATACAGCCACTGTGATTGCTGATTACAGCTGTGGTAAATTAGTGGATGAGAAATCTTTATAGAATGTCTATATAAATAATAGAGATATGTTTACTTATGAAATTGTTTTAGAAACCAAACATCATTACTACATTTGAAGATGCAAGTGGATTTATATATATTTATTTCGTATCTGTTGCGGTAGTCGACTTCGTGTCGAATAATATAATATAATTAATATAATATGATATAATTGAATTGTTGTATTAAATAAATATAGCAATAAGAATGAGGAAAGCAAGGTTAATACTTAGCGACCTTCTAAATTCATATAAATATGACAAAACTTGTTTATGTATGTACGTAAGAATGTACAATTAAATTCCTAATGATATGAAAACAGTGAACTGTAATTTATGTAAAAACTATCTACTCGCCCTGGCTTAGCCCGGGTGTACATGTATTATACATATAAACCATCCTCTTGAATCACTCTATCTATTAAAAAAAATCGCTTCCAAATCCGTTGCGTAGTTTTAAAGATTTAAGCATACATAGGGACGGAAGGACAGCGATAGCGACTTTGTTTTATACTACGTAACGAAGAAACTTCATGAATGGATTATTGATAACAATTATCATGCAATGAACTTTTTGAAAAATAAAACAATATATAATAGAGGGGGAGAAGCGGCGGCGGAAGGGGGAGAACCTCACAGGTTATATGATGACGGCCGCGGTGGTCTAACTGTATAGCACACCGCTTTTCTTCCGGTGGTCGCGGGTTCGATTCCTCGCACGGTACAAACATTTGTATTCTTGAGTGTTTGTATCGGTCTGGATGTTTTCTATGTATATTATGTATATATTTACAAAAAAAAAATCTAAGTCTTTATATCGCTTATCTAGTTATGGGTCAAGTTATGCTTACCGTGGGACTAGATGGCGGTGTGTTAATCGTTCAATATTATTATTATTATTATATGTAGATTGTTGGCATTTGAGCCATTAGTTCCTGTTATTTTCTTAACTTAGAAAGTCTATGAGAGTGTCTGCAGAAATGACAAAGCATATTTTTAGAAAAAAATCTACACTATAAGGGTATTCACCAGAAATTCACGATGGCTTCTAAACGTATGCGTGTGGAGGTCGACTTGACAATGAGCTCAATAATACCGATTACTAACAATTCCCCCTCTCCTAGAATTACAGGATGCACGTCTGATGACCTTTGTATTATTCTATTGAATAATCATTTCAATATATTGTTGAACGTGTAGGAATTAGACACGGTGAGGTCAATACCATGTGCAAATTTTTACGCTATTTATGTACAGACAGAATATTCGCCTAATAAGGTTGGAACAATAACAACGGAAATTGTAATTGTTTGGCGTACAAAGTGTAAGAATATTTAGATTTTTCTGGAATAACTTACGAGAATATTTTAAATCAAATTTGTCATTTAGAAATCGTTTATGTTTTAAATAGATCTAGACTTTAAAATTGTCAACGTGGGTATTTCAGTCACACCTATTTTAGCCGCAAAGCAATTTACTTTGCAAGATGCGCTTCGGTTAAAGGTTGAGATATGGCAGTGAAATTATATATATAATTCAATGGCGACGATGGCACAAGTCGTCTGGTTTTTATCAGAAGTGTGCATTTATATGTTATTATAATTGTGAGTCCTTACTTACGGCACCCGATAGCAATCATTTTGGTGGAAGGACAAAATATGGCCCTAAAATTACAGTATACTACACGTACTATACTGTAATTTCACTACGTAAGTACGAGCCGTCCTTATCCTTACATACTAGAATAATTATGGGTTCATATCGTACGAGTTAGCAATTCCGCCGCTTTTTAGGAATTCGCTCAATAATGAAAGTGTTAATAGATGAAATGTTTTGTTGTTCCCAGTGCCTGAACGTGTTGGTGGCTGCCGGCGCTGCCGGAGCAGATAGTAAGCAGCTCGCGTCGTATAAAGCTATCCATTCCTGCGCATGTACACAAGGCGAAGCGAGAGTAAGTATATGTATATTATCTACTATAAAAGCGACTTAATATGTACGTCCTAGATTACATAATGTAGGAATGGAAAGACTTTTCTTTAGGCAGGTGTTTAGCTTCCGCTGCTCCTTAAATCCTACTGCAGGTTTGAAGTTCACTCACCCTTGTTTTTGACGGTGAGATTGTATAAGCCAGGAGAAGTAGTTCGAAAGATGAACTATATAATTTGAAATAGAGATAATAAGCACAGTTTAGTCTTAGTCCATTTCAAGCAAAAACTACTAACTAATGCACGGATTTGAAAAAAACTTTAGTGTACAGACAGGTAATGTCCTAGATTGCTGAAATATGGTAATTGATGCGTTATGATAGTCATTAAATGTGATTTAAAATGTGAACTACACCAGATTTTTCATTCATTCATCTTATTTTTTATTGTATTTCCTACATATTTGTAATATTACTGAACTAATAATATTTGTCATTTCAGTGCGCACTACCAAACTGCATCAATGCTAACGGCAGCCATTCTCCATTCTACCTCCATGCCCCGGAGAAGGAGCACCGTAGTTCTGTAAAGGAGCGCCGGGGATCCCTGCCGTCTACCATAGGATCGATCGGCTCAAATCGCTCGGGCCCAGCGGATGGGTTATATGTGAACCCAATGCAAAGAGCCACATCCACTTCTGCTACCCACAACAGCTCCTCTGGGGAAGAGAGTTCAGGTGAATTATATACATATATTTTCTTCCTATTAGGCTGGTAATATACACTCGGTTAGTTGTCAGGTTGTCCGAATGCGACTGACGTTCCGATTGGCGAATTTATTTGCTACGCTACCTATCTTCAAAGACGGCGGTACCAAGGTATCGAATCTAACAATCGTGTTCTGTGGGAATCTTTATCGTATTATATACGTTTGTAGTAATATATTAGTAGGCTTAGTGATATAAAACTCACTACTAGCTGTCTGAGAAAATAACACAGTAATTGCGTTAATAAACATTAAAAGCTTTTATTTTTTTATCTAATCAAAATTGATATTATAAAGAGAAAGACTTGTTTTTGTATTTGTAATAAAAAGAAATTTTTTGACTTATGTAATGTATATTCAGAAAGAAAAAATGTACTTTATTAACAAGTGTAAGTATAGTCTATTTTATATCCTCCTTATAATAATGGCACCCGTATGAAGCCGGGGCGGTTTGCTAGTCTAGTATACTTTAAGAATAATGTGATGAGATAAATAATTGTCTCCATCCCGATTTTGCGCATCTTATATAAAATTTAAAATATATATATATATATATATATATATATATATATATATATATATATATATATAATAAAAAGTGCTGTAGCACTTGCGTTTGCATTTAATAGGAATAGAAAGAGACAAAACATAATTATTAAAATATATTATGATCTATCACCAATATAATATGTTGCAGGCAAGGAACATTATTGGTACAATTACCACATGATAAAGTACCTAGTTTGTTTAATCATGTAAAACTAATACGATTACGTATTCTTATATTGGTTGTGATACAATGGCTGGAGGCGTGAAGAATCGAGCGTATCTAATAGTGTATGAAGCCAACCGCGTCAAATATACTGTGACACCACTTTATAGTAAATGCGGGACAATATGACTCATAAAGTTTCGCGTATACATATAGTATTTTTAATAGATAGTGGAATAGTGCATTTGGCCTACTCTGCCGATGTATAATAATAACAATACCTAATAATCTTAGGACAATTCACACAGCGCCATCTAGACCCAAGTGAAGCTAGCTAAAGCTTGTGTCATGGGTACTAGACAAATGATAGAAATACATAGATATTTTTTTTCGTAAATACATACATATTATACATAAGAATGTAATTACGAAATTCAAGAGAATAGTTTATATATATAATACATGCGTGTTATAGTATAGAACAAGTCGAGATATTTGTAATGCATCCGTGCGAAGCCAGGATGGGTTAATATTATATATAGACGGCTAGTATTTTATAATAATAAATTATAATTAGTATAAACATGCAACAAACAACGGCTTCATAACGTGTTAAACGCGGCAGCTCGAGTGAAATAATTATGGTAATTAGAGAATTATAGTTTATTGTCGATTTATAAAAATATTGAATAAAATTATTAACACGCTTGAAGAACACAGTCAATTATTTCCTATTAGAAGTTATTATATTAATTACAATAATATTATTACTTAATAAATTAATAGAAAGACATTTATCGCTTCAGCCTTTTGGGACTTTGGGTACTCAATCCAACAATTGGTATAATAATTGAGATTTTCTTTTAGATTTCAATTACATTAATTTGTAATATAAATAATCGATATAATTGATTATAGTCACACTATATTACAAAATATAATAATGGGCTGCGATTGGCATTTACCATCCTCTAATGGTAAATGGCAGCTGTCAGATCGTATGTACCAAATTTCATTCAAACTGTTCAGTAATTTTGGCCTGAAAGCAAGACAGTTACTTTCGCGTTTATAATATTAATAAGGATTATTAAAACTGAATTTACACGTGATCATGGTGGTTGTAACTCTCCCGAAACATAGGAAACTCAATAGTAACAAATAACTTTTTAAACATTAAATTTTTCTCATCAAATTAATTTGTAATTTGAATTTCTAATCTGATTAAATTATATATAGTTGCAATTCCTTCGATTTCCATAATGTATGGTGGTCCTACAACGGAAATGATTTCAGGAAGCGCAAGCGCAGCTTTGGGTAATACAGGTCGCACTCCATTGGTCAGTTAGTTTCCTGTTGTCGCGAGTAGTGGTCGTGGTCAGACGGTCTCTGATGGAAATTTCATAAAAAAATGAATGTCGTTAGCAAAAGACGTATATATGAAGCGTGGACATTGGATAAATATATGAAATACAAATATTATGGTGCGTTTGTTAATAAAATATTTTTTTTATATGAAATTATTATGGTAACGTTAAATTGGTTTTATAGGTGCGAGATTTTTCACGAAGTGCGAAAATCTAGTAAAAATTTTTTTAGGATTATAGGCAACTAGATGTCGGCCGCGACTTCTTGTCTGTGAACGTGATGTACCAAATTAAATATTACATTAAGCCCTTCTCTTCCCCAAACGCTACCTACATATATGGCAAATTTCACGATTACTGTTTAAGCCGTTAATGTGTGAAGTTATAATAATTGAATTAGATTAGTTATAATTAATGTGATTGTGTAGTAAAATTTAAGTTGTCCTCATGGAAAAAATATATTATTATTATTAAATAATCCCTCAATTGATTTTATGTATTAGTTATAAATAAATAAAAAATAATAATTGTTTAACGTGACGGAAAAAATATGACTTTTATTGGGCTATTCGATTATAATAAAAAGTTATATTTTTATAATTTTATTACTTCGTCAGACAGCTACATTATTTAAACGTTTCCTAGAATTTGTTTTGGCAAAACAAAAGTATTCGAATTTAATATTTTATGACAAGTCTACTGGTGATAACAAACGCATACAAAGTATTTTAGTTATACATATATTAGTATTTGTATATATCGGCGCAAGTAGATTAGTATTTCGTGATACGAATATTTTATATAATACATTCTGTAGGGTGGAACTTATTACAGTATTTTCGTCAAATCGTATTGAGTTTAATTTTAGTTTAAGTATCTATAGTACCTTTACTTTATATAGCACATCATTTTCTTCAGAAGAGAAAAAAAACGTTATACGATATAAAACACAATAAAATTGCTATGTAGTTAATAACTTTAACTATATTAATCAGAATATTATTATAAGTAATATTTAAAATAGGCAATAATACACAGATACATATACATTTACCGCCTCATCTTCCCATGGCTGTGGGTTTGATTCCTCCACGAACAAAAGTACTGTTTGTCTAAATTTAAGACTTTCTATGTATTTACAAAAACAACGCTATTTATAATGTTATATGCTCCTATAACATTATATACTTTGTTAGGCTCTAGATGACGCCGTATGATTTGTCCACTCTATTCTATTCTATATGTATACATGGAATAGAATAGATTTTTAAATATACCTTGGAGAAGACCAGAGCCATGGCATCTTGTCACATAATATGTTGAGCTTATACTTATTTGATACACTTTACCATTCCTAATTGCCTAATTACTTATTGTATTTTTTCTTTACTTCATAATTACTATTCCGTAAATAAAATAGAGATGCGACAAAATATTCTCTAGTTTCAACTGAGACAACTGTTCACAGCGTGCTCAGCATCGGATGCAGACTCAGGGAATCCTGGCGGCTGGTTCCTGCATAACAACACCAACTCTGGTGCACCAGCCGCATTATACCAACGCGTCAGGGACCTCTTCCACACCCGCTCACCTGGACCCAGGGTCCCGGCTGAGGGACAGGAGGCACCCACTGTTACTGGTAGGTTATAAGAATAAACTTCAATTCTTGTCCCTGACGGATCTAGGTAGAGAACTCTGAAAAAGGGTGAGCACAATAGATTTATGTAGGTCACAGTGCTACAAGTCTAAGCACCTGACAATAGTTTTTTTTACTAGTAGGTTTATTGATAGAAACGTACCAGATACCGTTGAGTGTAGGTTATAGATATTTTTAATTGATGATAATGGGAACTATTCCATTATCATCAATTAAAAATATTGGCATCGGCACTAGTGGAGAATGATAAGATGAATATGAGGTCAGATCAGTTAGCCCATCGTGACAAATTCAGTAGAAACTTATCACGATGGTTTCCAAATACCGATAGAATTATAAATTATAAAGAAAGACATATACCTACATACCTTAAAAGTAAATAAATAAATAAAATTATTGTGCAGTGAAAGCCGAAGTGCATGGGTCTACAGAGGCGACAACAGTACCCGAGCAGTCGGACAGTGACAGTGGTGCGGAGGCAACGAGGCGTGATCATCATTATGAGGATATATACTTATCGAGGGATGAACACGCCAGAAGAAGGCAAGTCTCACTAATTTATTTCTTTATCTGTAGCGTTTTATATAGTGAAACGAGCGTCGTGATTTATTTTATCTGTTCCGATTCTTTACTTAGTACGCTATTTTAATGGATGATTATGGAATGGTGCACCCGCCTGTGCTAAAGGTATACACTGGTTAGACACCAGTGGAGAATGACTAGATGAGTATGAATTCAGGTCAGTTAGCCCATCATCGCAAATTCACGAGGAATTTATAATGATGGTTTCCAGGACCACATGAAGGTCAACCTGATTTGGTATTGTTAGCAATGGGTTTATCAGTTCATATTGCCAGCCACCAATCCACAGTACCTCTGTCACACCTATTTCAGCCGCTAAGCAGCTTGCTTTGTGATTTATGTTTCAGTGGAATGATAGGATAATGCGGAAAATTTTAATTTTTCACGCGTTGGCATTCCAGAGGACAAAAATGTTATGCCTCTTGTAGCTTACAAAGCAAGCTACTTAGCGGGTGAAATAGAGGAACCTATCTGAATCATTTTTATAGTCTACCTATGACAATTCTAAGAACTGTTTAAATAATAAAATAACTTTTCGAAGAAAAAATCTAATAACATTTTTTAGTTTAATGTCAATCGAATCTACCTCTTGTACCTATTAACTGCCTTTACACCAAACGTTTTTTAACGTGCGATTAGGAGCGTTTTATCCCGGAAAAGCCACCGCCGGCAATCGTGAGTGATTGATTTTAACTGTTTTTTGTGTTCACTTTTTCGCGCGTGATTGTGCGAATATTTTATGTCATTTCACTTTCTTTTAAAATGATGTTTTTTATTCCACAGATTTTATTATCCAGACACGTTTAAGATTTAGAAATTATCAATAACTCTATAATTATTGTCGTCTTAGTTAGGTGTCTGCCATTTTGCAATCATAATTTATTATTGTAAAAAGGCGGGCGCATGATGGAAGGACACGGAAATGAGTGAGTTGGCGGCGCGCGCAATCTATCTCGTTCTCTTTACATGTTCCTTCTTTCCTGCGTGAAAGCCAATTTACGCGTGAAACAGCGTACGTGTAAAGACTGTTATTATGTGTCATTTTATCCGCATCATTTGGTATATCTTTGTTGTATGTCCGTAAGTTATACCTGGTCATAACTGTTTGGTGACAGGAGTAGCTCCCGTGACTCTGGCAGTCACAGCCGGCCAGGAAGCGCAGCCTTAGTTGTCGACTACTCCACCAAAGAGAATATCGAAATGTGAGAATTACCAGCATTCACTGCCTAATGCTTCCGTAGTATTCCTTCTTTTTACGAAACTATTTGTTAATTGTTTCCATTCTTTTATTATTTCCATTGCTTCTTCTTCTTATGAAATAGGTTGCCAAATAATTTAATTCTTTATAGTATTCACGGATTTCTTTCATCTTACAAAATTTTGTTAGATGCTTCCATTTTTTCAGCTATTATTAATATAGATTATTTTTTCTTACAAAATAAATTGCCAGATGCTTACATTTCTTTACACTGTTTATTCTTTTTATTAAATGCTTCCCTTTCTTAGAACTGTTTATATCTTTTATCGATTTTCTCTTTCTTCAAAGTAGTTTGTTAGATTCCTGCTTTTCTTTAGTTTTTCGATTTGTTAGATGCTTGCATTTCATTCAAATTGTTTGTTCTTCCATCTATTTTGTGCTACAAAATAATTCGTTAGATGTTTTCTTCCGTCTGAATATGCTTGATTTTTATCTGTAATTTAATATGTTAGACGATTCCTTATATTTTTTACTCACTTTGAATTATCTAGTGACCAATGCAGTAGCTTGTTCACAATTTTCAGTATAAACAAGCTATTGACCAAGGTATTATGTACAGGATAGTATAAACCATGGTATTATGTTAAGCCATTTTATTAAACGTGTAAAAATATCGTCTTTTTCAAAATATTTCATATATTGGTATTTATGTTATTCCTTTCAATCTGCACTACTACTACCGCTTCTGTGTTATTGATTATTAAGTTATACCTTTTGTTGCAGATCAAATAAAGCTTACGAAGAAGTGTCTCCTATGACAGAAAACCAAAACAAATCGTCTATAGCTACCAAACTAGCAGCGCTTACTCACAAAGCACAAAACTTCGTAAGTACCTACTCGCCTTTCTGTCTACATTTTTCCAAAAAAACTTTTTTGTATCATGCAATGGGAAAAGCAAACAAGCATCACCGGATTTTAAGTGGTGATCGTCGACTATATACATGATTAGCAGTACGGACCTCCCATTATAATGTGTCATCATGCGTTGCTATTTCAGAGGATTAAAATGTCATGCCTCTTATGCTGTAATTTCACTGCCTTATCTACGTCTAACAACCGAAATACAGCAAAGCAAAGCAAGCTTACAAAACAAGCTGCTGAGCGACCGAAGTAAGTGAGATCCACGGTAAGAAATATCCACGGAGTCAACTATGGGTGCTGATGATGGACAAATAATAATAATTGATGTAGATAAACTACAAGATTACTTATATCATATTCAACATTATCAAAACTTACAAATCGTTTACATCTATATGGTATGGTATAATATTCCAAGCTAATCTATAATTACTGCCAACAGGCCAGCCGTATCTCCTCAGCGGCAGGCAGTCGCCGCGCGTCCATTTCCGATGAGGCTGTTGTGGTGCAAGCCGCCTCTGCTTCTTCAGGGGTATCCTCAGGTGGAAGTTCAGGAGACGAGGCACCTCCTCCGCCTCCGCCGCTACCAGCCCCGCCAGCACCACCGGCACCACCACCGAAAGTTCTAGAAGAACCGGCGCTGAGACCTTCGGAACTAAAGGGACGACTTGGTAAGTATATGAAAAAATCATGGCATCTTACCACGGTTTATTTATTTTTATTGAGTTCCCGATATATCGGCAGTGTTTCAAGCGCCATGATCACGAGTTGATTGAAGCAGCGCAGCGGGTAGATGGTAAATGAAATCCCGTCTTTTTTCCTAAATGTGCGTATATATAATGACTGCTTCAAATTTAAAATATTTTTCACTCAAAAGTACATACTAGTACATAGAATGATTTGGACTAGCTGTTACTAGCGGCTTCCTTTGCTGATATCAACGTTGTATTTTTATTAAAATGAATAAAATTTCTTAAATAAGAGTAGCCTAATTTACTACCTATATTATTTGCTATCTGCGAGTAAAAGTCCTATCAACAAACAAACGAACTGACTGACAGGCAGACTAAAATTAAATCGGTGTAGTTTTCACTAATGTTTTGCAATGAGTTGCACTTCAAATATAGCGCACGTCAAAATTGCAATTGGTTTGCAAAACTTATTTATGAACTTATATCAAATAACACAGATAAGAAGTCGCAGTGTCAGCTAGTTAATTAATATTTTTAGCAGCAAACATAGATATATAATAAAAAAATACATTAAGACAATGTATGAATTTACTTTTTACATAATACTATACTATGCTAAACAAACTATTTTCAATATTGTTTAATTTAAAAATGAGTTTCTTTGTTATTTATTTTAATTCGTCATTATCATCATTTCAGCCTGGAAGACGTTAATTTTATTTAATGGTATATATTTGAAATCTTTTATTTATTAAAAATTTTGCACATTCAATTTTTCACACGGAGAAAGAGATTGGTTATTTCTAAATCCCAACCACTCCATCACAACGCCTCTTAGTCGAGTATATGAAGTTGCTAATAAAAACTAATGTAGTTATATTTACATATGTACTAAAATTACTTAAAAGAAATTAATAAATACTATTATTTGTATTAAGTCTTGGCAGTGGGTGGGTAACTCTGTTTCACATATTTCGGTCACTAAGCAACTTGCTTTAAAACTGCTTTTCGGTTGAAGGATAAGGCAGTTAAATTACAAAATAAAATCTTCATAATGAAGATGATGATTTTTAATTTTGATTGGAATTTCAAACGAAGTAACTATAGATGCAATGAAATTCTTGAGCTCTAAGATTCAATACACTCACTTTTCAAGTAGGAGCACAGTTTCAATAATAATAACCTTGGACAATTCACACAGCGGTATCTTGTCCAATTTAAGCAGAGCTTATATTATGGGTTTTTTTTGTGTCTATCCTGCAATCAGTCGAAAATTATGAACAGATGTGGTAAATGTTACGTCGCGGGTAGAGTGTGATTCCCAGCAGAATCGTCGTGTCTTTAGGAGGTCCTGATTAATCACCGGGTTACTGTAACCTATGGCTTTTAAGTCTACCTATGTTGTCAGAGATTAACAGTTGGTTGGCCAGCACATTGGGTTTACTAGCCGTGTCTTGTATTTGGTGTAGCAGTGTTTCTCCAATGGGTTTTTTGTAATTACAAAACCTACACGCTTTCATATTAGTATTGATGTGCTGTCGAAATATCGGGAGTTCATAAATAGTATAATCATGGAACATATAGCTTTTTATATAATATATATAATTACGTAGACATGTTTTTATAAAACCTTCTTGTACATTATTTAAAAATGTCATTTATTTAAATATATTTGTATTGAACTTTTACTTATAAGAGCACTTCACTGCGTTTTACCGACACTTTTATATTTCACGGTAAATATACTACGTATACTTTCGCAAAGACATTGCGTCTCTCTCTTTTACATGTAAGAAAGTAAAATTAATCAACTTATTTTATGAAATAATTAATAATATGTCTTAAGACTGTAATATTAGATGTATTAGTCAGAGACATCGTCAATTGCAGTAGAATAGAATATAACTATAATATAGTAGCGAATAGTTCGGATATTTAACAAACAAACATTAAACAACAAAGCAAATAAAAGCTAAATCCGTCCATTTGCAATTAAATATATAATAATACATAAAGCGCAAAAAATATGTACTTCTCTTTACGAAAATTACGTGGATGTTCCTCTGAATGAAATTTCGCTTATAGTTTATATTAAGGAGTGCAGAATATTGATATTTTTTAAATTATACATACAAAATACATTAAAGCAATAAATAAAATACATTATATACACTACCATGTATTTGTATTACGTCGGAATATGATCACTAATAGAGAAGGTCGTAACGCATCCAGTAGCAGTGGTCAGATTTCCGTACTGAATATTTGTGGCTTGTACACATGCTAGTGGTAGCGGAATTTATAAAAATAACATAAATAATGATATGAACTTCCGTAAAATAACAACAAATTCAGTCAAATATGGTACTGTAAAGGCTAGACGGGTCTAGCTAGCGAACTTTGAAAAGGGCGAGCACAATAGATCTATGTAGGTCGCAGTGCTACAGGTGCTACACATCTGACAATAGCCCAAACAATCCAATAAAAAAAAGGCAAGACGCCTTCAGTAGTTCGTGCGAAGCCGGGGTGGGTAGCTAGTGTTTAATATTTATAATGACGGTACATTCACAATTAAAGAGTTTGTTCACTTTCTACGACTGGTGGCCACTTAGTTGCGTACTGATTCGTACGTACACAAAACTGTACTAATGTATGTTAATTTAGTGTTCCAAGTTTTAAATTTGCACTCAAGTACTTTCCTTTTCTAATATTTATAAGGTGATATTACAGATGATTTACTGAAAAGGTAAAATATATTATTTATAATAATAATAATAATGCCCTTTATTCCGAAATTTACAGTTATTTTAAGTATAATATTTGTTTCTCAATATATCTCTAATTTCAGTGTGCCTTTTGGCATAGGCCTCCTCCAGCGACTTTCATTGATTTCTATCCTGTGCTACTCGTGCTGTATTATTTACATATATTTTACTAGCTGTTAACTGCTATTTCATCTGCATTAATCGTCATTTTTCTTTTGACATTAGAGATAGCCTCTATCCGTTCTCGTGATATAATCAATCTTTAAATCTCATGAAGATCCCTTCAGCTGCACTTGAAGAGTGTTGGACTCTATTTTCCGCATTTAGACTCACTTTTTGGGTCGTACGTGATCTGTTCAGTCATTTTGTGGTCAAAGGGTTCAGTATAGATATATACAGACAGACACCCTTTTGATTGTATAAAATTAGTATTAATTTAGATGTCAAGAACAAAAATACACAAAGTCATTGGAGTTTTTCATTTGTTTAACTAGATTAATTAAAATACGTGAAAGCATATAAATATATGGTCACGAAATTGAAAGTATTTGATGTTATCTCTTCCACAGAATTAACAGCTGTTTAGTTAAGCTTCGGAACGCATGCTGAGTTAGATTACGTTAGAGACCGAATTTTCCACCTCGAATACGACTTTATTACCGGCGATTACGATCTCAAATACATTATGTTTTAAAACACTGTATGTACAGTATGTTTTACAATCCTTTCAAGATGCATTTATTATAAGTAGTATGGAATATTGCTGGCTTCACTCATTAGAAAGTGGCAGCGTCGTAAGAAGTGTCGCTCATCAGAGAAAAGTCAATTTTCCTAAAGTATTTACTGATTTATATGTGTAGATATGATAGAGTAGAATGAATATTTTGATAACATAATATTATATATAATAATAATAATATTACACCTGGACAATTCACACAACGCAAGTCCCAAGGAAGATGTATATTTCTTTTGTAAATACACATGAAATTTCCATAGAAAACACCCAGACCCATTGTTTGTACAAATGTTTGTATAGTGTGAAGAATCGAACTCGCGGCCATCGGAAGTAAAGCGGTGTGCTAAACCGCTTCATCAAGCTTCCGTTAGTCGTGGATTCGATTCCTCACATGGTAAAAATACTTATATTCATAAGTATGTTTGTATCGATTTGGGTGTTTTCTATGTGTATTATGTATGTATTTGCAAAAAAATATATCTAAGTATTTATATTGTTTGTTTAGTACACATAACACAGGCTCTGCTTAGCATTGGACTAGATTATGTACATAATATTCATAGAATACCAACAATCGTAAGAACAAATCATACTCACGAATAAAAATGTTTGTACCGTGCGAGGAATCGAATCCGCGACTATCTGAAGTAAAGAGGCGTGCTAAACCGCTGCTAAAATATGTATATAGACGTCTTCACGTCTCAGATGAGAATACTGTTTTGTATTCAACTCAACTCACTGTTTTTGGCGTAATTTTTATTATTTTTTATTATTTTTAATTTATGTTCTGTTATTATTATTATTATTGACGTTAACTATACAGAAAGGTAAATTGCGTCTTTGTTTACAGCGTGAATGTACTGTAAATTGTACAGGTGTTATTAATTTGAGATTGTAATTAAATTCAAGACTTGAGTAAACAGACTGAGACAGTTTCACGTGGAGCTGCCTGAATTTAAATGTTTCTGCATTACGGTTAACATCTAATTATGCCAGTAGGATGTCTGACACTTTCTATGCGTCTCGTACAGGAAATATTTTAATTTTTTATATGTCTGTTTGTAATGGAAAAGTAAAATTCAACTATAAATTATCTGCAGTAAGCTATTCTAACAGTTAGTAACTTAGACTGTATTCTGCACAGGCAGTGTTGTAGAATGTAGCTTATCTTGGATCACATCATCATCATTTGCTTCTTCCTTATCCCATTTATTTGGGGTCGCCATAATATGATTTTCTCTTCCATTCATCCCTGTTCGCAGTCATCGCGCTATTTTCTTCCTTTCTCACCATATCATCTTTCACACAGTCCGTCCATCTCTTTATCGGCCTTCCTCTGCCCTTATAACCATCCACATTCATATGTAACACCTTAGCTTCGATCACAAATAACATAATATTACGCTTGGACATATAATTGTAGAACAGCAGATAAGATAATATTACACAGTAGAACGTTTCCGTTGTAGGTTTAAGCCCTAGCCTAGCCCCAGCCCTATTGTAAACAAGAACTTGTAGAGTAAAAAATATTTTCAATCGACTTCAAAAAAGGAGAAGGTTTTAAATTCGACTTTATTTTTCCTCTTTCCTTTTGCGAACCTCATTACCTTTTCTACGTGTATAGAATTTGATATATATGTTTTTTTTAAAAGATAAATATATCTACTTGTAGTAGTGTTTCATATAAGATTTAAACAGCAGTTTATGATTTAATCTTAATAAAATAAATCAGATTTTCGTTGACTGAACACAGCATTATTGACAATAATACCGTGTTCACGAGAGGCCACGAAAAACTGTAGCTGACGTTATCTAAAAGGTTTCAGATTATTGTTTTTGCAGACGCAATTAAACTTGAAAACGAATCAATATTCCAATGTAACGTTTCGAAACTGAAAGAATACGGCCTCGTCCAAGTTTCTCTCGATAGTGATGTCGAAATCCATAGTTTTTCCATGAAAGGCGAATTTTACGTAAACCTGAACACACTAGTCCGTAACTTGCTTATAACTGAACAGTAGAGGCGCTCATGCTGAACATTTCATAAGTATATAGAAGGCATACTTTGATAGCGACAGCTTTACCCATTGCGAGGCTCCGGGCTACGCGAGGCCTACTCTAATGCTATTGGCCACAGGCCTTTATAGCTTCACCGGATGATAGGGGGACGAGTGCAGATGGCGCTCCAAACCCGCGAAAGGACTTATGGAGCTGCTGAAGTTATTTCCCGCCTGGCTAGGCCCATTGTCCTACGTGATATGAATGATTATGTGAAATTATCGATTGATTCAAGGAAACTATGCCTTATTTTGCTTTTTTAAATCGTACTTTTTTATTTTTATATTTTAGTTTTGGTAATTTTGTTCATTTGCGATTAAATGCCTAAATCGGATTTTTGCAAAATGCCACTCACTGGTAGTTTAAAATTTGTTTTGGTTGTTACGCGAAGCCACGCCACCCCCTAAGGCCGCCACTGTTCACTGATTTATCTTACACGGTTAAATAGCTCAAATTCTTAATTCATGACCATGTATTTTTAATTATTACTAATATACAAACTTATCGAAAGAAAATATAATACAAGGTTTTTTATTTATGTATTTATAAAGGCAAACAAGTTAACTTATTTATATCTATATCCTAGTGTCGTCCAGTGGTTGAAATTCAACCATAATTAATTAAGGTTATGTTTGAGATTCAAAAGATAAATAATATTAATTTATTCTCAATTTTACCACAGACTTATATTTACAAACAATTTGATACACCCGCGTTTATACTCTTTTGTTTATTAACAATAAACATAGTATTATATATAAATATTAGTAGTATATATGCATGTGTCAAATATATATACAATGTTCTTTTTATTAATTTAATATATATTTAGGCATAATTGAAAATAATGTATATTAGTATTCTGCACTCCTATATAAGTTATAAGTTTGCGAAATTTCAAATTCCTCTATTCTCGCAGTTTGCGTAAAAAGGGGTAAAAAGATTTTACTTCAGGTATTAATATCTAGTTGGTTAAAATATTCAATCAATTTGACAATATAATATATAGGTCAAATGGAGATTGTAAGTGAGACTTTCATCCACGCGTTTCATAACTTGTTTATTTTACAGCACTTAACGTATAAAATTTAAAAAGATATTAAATTATTGACGACCGTATGAAATAAAGAGCAGTTCGAATGAGTTTGTAATATGAAAGTTGTTATAATTATAATGAATTATATAATGATCTATTGGTATAATAATTTTGTATAATAAAGATAATCATCAACAAATGATCAATTGTTATTGTCAATCAGAGATGGTAACAGATGATCATTACTTCATTATTATTATGCAGCTGTGGTTCTCACGATTCAGATATCCACTCGTTGAATACAAAATTGACTAATTATTGATCCGGAAGTTGCTTTGCTATTGGAATCGTTGATGTATTATAGTTATTAAAATTACGGCCTGAATGTTTCTGCAACCAACGCTCCGGTTTGCATATGTATAAATACATATATAATATATATATATATATATTATATATATAACTCAAAGATGACTGACATAGTGATCTATCAACGCACAGCCCAAACCACTGGACGGATCGGGCTGACACTTTGCATGCATAAAGCTACTATGACGTAAGCATCCCCTAAGAAAGGATTTTAATAAATTCCACCCCTAAGGGGATAGATTAACGCAAGCGAAGCCGCGGGCTAAAGCTAGTATTTTTATATAAATATATAACTATTTATATCTTTATACTCTTGGTCACGACATTACGAGGGGATTTCGCTAATTCTTTCTTAATTGTCAGGAGAATTGTAAGAACGTTTCTTATGAAAAGAAAATTAGGATAGTTGCATGGATTTTGTTTTATTAATTATATCAATGGTAATTCAATACTTATAAATAAGACAGGACAACGTTAATGGGTTGGCTAATAATAAAGATTTATGTTACATTTATATGCAATTTCTAATGAATTTCTTGGTCACCTCGCCTTTGATAGATATATCTAATTATACTTATATACATATTATGGGATTGTCAACTATATAAGTCATGGTGAAGGTAACGCTAAGGTAACACACACACCCATATTTTACGTAGCACAAAATGAACCCTTTAAAAATTATATGGTTTGTTTTCGTTTTGTCATTTTTGTCATCACTCGCGAGATTCTCCCGTCAATACGATTAGATACGATTAGCCAAGACAATGAATACAAATGATAGTGTGAAATCGAACTACTAGACAGCCGAGGTCATTAATTTTATATAGTAATAATAACACTAGTTTCTACCAGCGGCATCATCCGCATAATCATAATTAACTGGGATAAAAAAAAAACATGCTTTACACATAAGTCTTTCTCCATTCCGAATGCTTTGATGTACCTACTAAAAATTATGTGCAAAATGATAAACAATCGAACAAGCTAACTTTCATATTTGTACCTAATATTATTTAATATTATGTTTATATTTTTCTATTGATAAGATTTAATTGTATTTGGGTACTATGATATATGTTGTATCTTACTAAAACACATAGATATATTTTGTGTACATTCATTCACAATTTAATTGAAGTACCAAGTATTTACATAAAATAATTTTTACGATACTACTCCCTCTCCTCTCTACGTAAATCTATTCTCTCTTTACGCCAATAAGTCGGTAATATTTCCAATGATCTTATACATACGATAAGTATTTAAATATTGAAAATATATTTGTAATCACTGTGTACATTTTCTCGACAACAAGTAAATAGAAAACAAATATTCGAATGTGACTGTACACAGTCGTCGCATCTTTAGTTGCGGGATGCGTGCCCGCCGATGCGCAGACTTTCTCTCCCCACCTAACTGGCGCATTTTACAGCGGGGCGGCGCGGGTCTGCGGCGTCCGCAGATGACGAGAGACCACGCGGTGCCAACCTCGTCAACAAACAACCAGCCCTGCCGTTCGTGCCTCCCGCGTTCCCCAACAAAGCGCCCGACCGCCTCATCAAACCCTCGGAGTATTTGAAAACAATCACGGCGCCCTGCAAGCGGGACGACCGCGCGGCGGAGGCCCGACCTCCGCCGCCGCCGCCCGTTCCTAATGGCAACGTGCCGCCGCCGCCACCCCAGCCGCCAGCAGTGGCCCCGACACAACCCTTGGCTGCGATCAGCAGCGCTGAACTCTCCGCGGTCAGACTCAGGACCCCAGCTACGAAAACATTATCAGCACCTCCGCCCGCGAGGTCTGTCAGTCTACAATGCCTGTCGAGTGGAGCGGAGAATTATAAAAGCGCGAAAACGGACTTGATCGAGGAACTGAAGATGTCGAAAGATATAACCGGTATAAAGAAGATGAAAGTCGAACGTGCCAGGAGGGAGAGTCTTCAGGATAAGGAGACGTTTACGGAGTTTACGAAGCGATTCACAGCTGAGAACTTTGTCGATCAGGTCAGTGGTATTAACAATCTTATTATCGTTTAAGAGCTACAGGTGCTTGTAAGAAGTGCTTTCTCGATTATTTAAAAGAAAGTGACATAAAATATGTGTTCGCCTACATGAATTTCTTTTAACGTATTAAGATATGAAATATATAAGATCTATATAATTCAAATCTATTAATTTTATGAAATCGTCAACCTAAATTTAATATTCGATACAAGTTTTACAATATCTTGTTTATCACAGGAATAGAAGAATAACAAACATAGGTTTTTTATTTATGACTCTGAAATACACACTAAAATAATTACCTAAATATATACCCAACATAATTATAATAAAATAGCAATTTCTACACAGTTAAGTAATGCAAAATGAAACTACAGTTGCAATCTTTCACTATCACGAATTAAGTTTCTTACTAAGTAATAGAAGTGAATATTCGGAAATATTATAAAGAGGAAGCATTTTTTAATTGTATTAGATTACTAAAAAATGTCAATCGTCTGTAGAAATCTATATTAACAGCGAGTAATATGTACTATATGTTATTTAAAAAAAACAAAGGACCGTGGATAGACGCAAACATACGTTTTTGCTCGCCCTATTTCAGAGTTCGCTGTCTAAACCCGTTATGGATAAATTTTTATCTCAGGATAGTATGTGCTTTCTAAAGGAGATATTTTCTCTATGCATATAAGATGTGTAGTGGCGTTTCCTCATTAGAATAACGTAATAACGTAAAAATTAACGGCACTGTTAATATTTATTAGTAGAGAATCGCAGACGACGCGCCGCGCTTGGGGGCAGTTGTAGGCATTTTCCAAGAAGTGCAGTTGCATCCGTGCATTTAACCCAGTGATCTACTTCCCCCACCGGCCGACTATCTCCAAGCCTCGTCTAATATCTAACGGCCGTGAAACGCAACATGACTGGCATTTTTGACTAAACTGCCTCCACGTACAGTTAAACGCATTTTTTTATATCACAATACAATTATTTATACGGCGTATTTATTTTTATACAAAACTTATATAAAATGTAGCGAAATGGCAAACAAGCTGATGGTTAATTGATGGTCAATGGTAACCCTCGCTTGTATACATGAATAGCACCACGGACATCATGTAATGTGTTTATTTATATGTGCGTTTGTATCTACTAATTTTGCTTTTTGTCTCATTCCTCAGTCAAAAACTACTTTACATAGAAAACTGCTTGGTCGATGAAATATGTAAGCCAGAGGTATTCACGCTTACAATTCTGTACTTTTTTTATCAGTAAAATGATCTAATGATTGTCAACAAGGAACAGTAGATGGGTATTAAGATAGATACACGCAAATGATTGTTGTGGAAAAAAAATAACTGCGGACAATTAACACAGCGCCTTCTAGTCCCACGGTAAACAGAGCTTGTGTTATGGGTACTCAATTGTCTACTGATATAAATACTTAGATTTTTTTGTATATAAATACATAATATAAGTAGAAAACACCAAGACCGATACGAACAAGCATACTCATGAATACAAATGTTTGTACCGTGCGAGGAATTGAATCCGCGACCGTTGAAAGTAAAACTGTGATATAAAAGACTAGACCACCGAACCTGTCTATAAAAAAAAATATTTTTATAAAAACACTTCAATTTTTGTAGCTTATCGTTTCATTGCATTAAGAAATAATATGTGAATAGAATAGATTAGTAAATCATTTCAAATAAACTTAATTTCTGCACTTTTGAATAATCAAAAAATTTTTTAAAATCTACCGTTCATTCGGAAAGCTGTCTCATCATAAGAAGAATAAGCAGGAAACTTGTGTCTTGCTCTATTAAATAATTTCATATTTATATACACAGTACACAGTAAGTTCATATTTTACAAGACGAAACGTGTGAATACAAACTACCAACCAGCACTAATTTATTAGGCTCAAATATAAAAACACAATAAAATTAAATCAGTCGTAGTGATAAAAGCAGACCAGTCCATACAAGCAGTATTCGTTCAGGATTATGACGGATGAGCTAGCCATTACTAATAATAATTTCATATATATATATTAATATATATATAGTCCATTATATACTCGTCCACTTTTTGTTGAATTGGGAGATATTCCGAGTGATACGAATTATACTTTAAAGGATATACGGACGATATGATGTTAAACGTAATTTTAATATTAAAATAATCATTTAAATCTGTCTGACATTAACTAAGCCATTACTAAAAAAATTTCATATATATATTCCATTATATAATTGTCAACTAAGAACCTAAAATTAAAAATTAAAAAAAATAATAATATGATGACTAAAATATATTATTAAAAGTATATACGGCAACGTATGATGTTAATCGTTCCCTCTTTGATATTAAAATATATTTTTTTTACAATAAAAGAATTTAATAGACAACAAAATTATGTATATAAACCTCTATGTTCATTCAACATTTTTCGCGCTAATGCCGATTAAACTTAGCCCATTTTAGCATGTTGCAATTAGGTGTGTGTAAACCCATGTCGCTTGCAATGTTATGCACTATTGATGGTCTACAAAATAACACTAAAAGCGATTATAGTCACGGTTATTCAACTGGAAAAGAGAGTCGTTACATCAAAATTAATTATTATTAAAAATTACATAAATAGGTTGCATTCAATAATCGTATGTTGCATAGTATGTTAGAGATTATAAATAATTACTTATTTATGACTCATAATAATACTGACAATAATAATATTGCCATCTTGTTGTAGTCTATTATTAGTTGTATACATTATTAAGTGTTTTATTACTGTTATTCCGATAACATCAAATTGGTTTGCATAATGTAGAATGTATTATTACATTATATACATTCCATAGTTAAGTTTAAAAAAAAAGTGAGTTAATATATTAAAATTTATTGTTTATTGACATCGCTATGACATTTATATACTCGTATCAGATTGTTCTATATATTTTTGACGGATTTAGTGGTCTAGCCTTTTAGCACACCACTTTACTACCGATGGTCGCGGGTTTGATTCCTGACACGGTGCAAACATAAGTATGATTGTTTGTATCGGCCTGGGTGTTCTATTATTATATACGTATTTACTAAAAAAAAACTGAGTGTTTATATCAGTTGTCTAATACTCATAACATATATTCCGCTTACTGTGGAACTAGATGGCGCTGTGTTAAATGTTCGGGGTTATTTATTTATTTATTATGTATGTATGTTTAGGATAATAATATTAAAACTTTAAACATACCCATACTACAATTAGCACAAGTAGGTACACTACAAATCTTTGGTAGTAAGTCATGTGGATTAACACTGAGGCTTATAGTAGTTCCAAATAATATAATAATTGCAAAATTAGTAAAAGAGTAGTCAACTATTTTTAATCTTTAAATTCCGTATGTTTTTCGTTGCAACATGATATTACACATAATTATATGCACATATCGAGTAATCGACAGCTATTGAAGCATGTTGAACAATTGGAATTAATGAAAAAAACAAATAACGATTTCAAGCTGAAATTTCTTTGAATGTGCTCACCGTGGTATTACACATAGAGGGTTACACTGTTAAATATATAGTATCACATCATGTAATATCGAAGTAAAAATTAATATTTATCTCGCTCATTATTCCTAAACTATGAGCAAGATATTGTTAAAATTTTAAAGGTTTATTATATATAATAATAAACCTAGAATGAATGAATAAAATTTCAATGTAACTGACTGTTACATTGAATTACACCTACGCGGTACAATTTGCTTTCTGTTTTTTTAATAATCTCATAGGAAGTATGAGAATTTTCCTTAGTGAAACTTAAATCTGTGTTCTGATTTATTTCTAAATTTCCTAGTTTTCATAAATTAGAATACGCAAGTAATGACTCTATGTCAAAACTAATAGTATGTAGTGCTAGGACAAAAAAAATTATAGTGACGTAATAATTTAAGAAAACATAGTCTATTTAGTTATGGTATATTTCATAATGTTTATTACACCCATACTATTCTGTATAGAATCATATATATAAACAAAAAGTGATCTTACACACTCCAATATGAAGGTATATTTGAGGTCTTCAGCGAGCCCTTCAAGCTTCTTTCGACTGAAAGTGATTTATTATCATCTAGTTAGGTAGATATACATTATTTCAAAATAAACTTCAATATTTTATTGAATTAAATTAGTATAAATTGTACAAAAGTAGGGAAATCTAGATATGGTTATGTATTGTTTTCGGTGCCCATTTGCATCTAATTAAATAGGTATGTACGAATTTGTACGTATTTTAATGTTTTTGTATCGCCAACAAAATACTACCTGCTCTACATAATGGTAACTGACTTAAAAAAAAGAAATTCTGTTGGCGACCGGTCGCCGCAACCTCTTTTGATACTTTTATTATTTTTAGAACAGTTCTTTTTATACGTAATGTTTTTGATACATTTCAATTATTCTCTCATTGTCCTTTCAGTTCGCAACTGTATTTAAATATATTTTATTATCATATTATATACGTGTTTTCACACATACAGTCCATCGATCCATTACAAATTCAGTTGAGAGATTCTTACCCGTTCTTCTCAATTGAATCTGTACACTGAATTAGGCGGTAGGGAATTTTTTAATACCTAAACCGTGTCGTTCATAAACGGCTAAAATGTCCTACATGAACAAATGTTTTTTTTATTTAATTTGTTTTAATAGTAGACTGGTAGATGTCGTATGAAAGTAAAGTAAAGTAAATTATGCATTACTTAATTTATTAAATGATTATATAATAGTGTAATGTCTTTCTTATACAGAGAGACGCCATCTTTATTTCTCATCCATTAATTGGACAAATAATAAAATTTAAACTCACGACTGTGACATGCCGAATTAGATACCTCAAAAAGCTTATTGAACTTCCAAACAATATACTATTGTTGTATTCAATAAGAAGCGAAAGTTATATCATTTGGTTGAACGTTTGAATGAATAATATTTATTTTGGCTGTGCTCCCGTGCTCGCTGTTGTATGTTTACACTTCATGACTTCACGCTTTCGCCGCCGTCTGTTGCGTCCGTTCGTGGCGTTCCCATTATAAATACTTTATTTCATTTTCACAATGAAACTATAAATTTAATAACTCGTAAATATTTAATTAAATAAGCTACATAATTTATTATGGCCGCATATATATTACCTCTCAGTGCCATGTGTCTACAGTGAGATGTGGATTTGGTACTTAGCTTTGTTACAGCGTAGTCTTGACTTCCAACAGTTGTAACCTCTGTTCTGGTTTTCTTTGTATAGTAATATCTGTCGCTTTCTTTGTGGCGACATCCTTTTGGCCTATGTTTTATTCTATATGTGTATTTCTCATTTATTTTAATTTTTATTATTTTGTTTCAAAATATATTTTCTTTCTAAATATTATACTTTTTACTCTACTTCCTCCTCTAATCGATTTGATTCTCCTTTGTACCATACAAACTTGGAATGAAATGACGACAGCCTAAGCAGAGATTTGGACACCTAGCGGTGCTCTCAGACTGAAGTCCTTCAGGCAGGAGTTTGCCTTCGTTCGCTCTATAAGTCCTTGCGGGTTTTGAGTATTACGTGCACTGGTGGTTATTTTTTTGTCGGTTGAAACCGTAGAATCTAGCTACGGCCAACAGAAATTTAAAATAGTTTAAAAATAGAACAGAGTCTATACTATATCTTATAGTATAGAATTTAATAAGTAGCCTTAGTATCGTGGGATAGAGACGCATGAGGTTTACTCAGCATAGTTTGATATGTTTTTGGTGCTGATCATATTTATAGAAGATTTTTACCGTTTTACAACACGTGGGTCGTCAGCTCGCTAGAACTAAACAAAGATTTCTATTCATATATACTATGTAGAGGTTTTCTCTAGAGATTACAGCATTTTGTTGGGGTTAAGATGGGTTTATTAAGAATTCTTAAGAGCCAGCAACGCGCACGTGTTAACCCTGGTGTTTCAGGCGTCCTTAGGCTATGGTAACAATTTACCATCAGAAGAGCCGTATTGCTGTTATAAAAAAACCATTAGAAGCTTTTTTTTTTGAAGCGATGGTAACATAAACTCCATTGATTCGAGAAATATCTACAAATACGTTTCGAATTGAGAAATGAATGATTAAGACATATAGTCGAATTTTCTGGATTGGTTGATAATAAATGTACTACAAGACTTAATAAATTAATTTTATTAGTACTTTTTATATCTGCTTTCTATACTTTTGCTCGACTCATGGACAGCGGACATCTCGAAAGTGTAATACGGGCCCGAGAAAGTTTTAATGCAACAGATTTAAACATAATTTAATGATGCTCAGTAGGTGCTCACTTAGTAGTTAATTTAGTTGCTTTTTAGTTTAGTGTCATTGTTGCTTCAAAGGTTAATTAGTCAGTATCTATTTTTTGTGAAGTTATAATGGCACACAAGCTGACGGCCTATGGTAGGTGGTAACTGTCGCATAGGCGACGGTTACAATACTGTACTGTGTATATATACAATACTGTACTGTATATATATATATATATATATATATATATATATATATATATATATATACAGTACAGTAAAACAGGTAGAGGCGTTATATACACCCGCGATACCACTCATGCATTGTCATTGCGGAGGACTCAGACGTCATGCCTCTTATCGTGTAATTGTCCCATAAGTTAGAGATTTTCATACTTCGCGTTTTATCTGAGATAAATTTTAGATGCTTTTACTATAAAATAAAGTTATAAGGAAGGTATTAGAGTACATACGTACCATTTTAATGACATTTTCTTACAATTTGAGATATTTTTGATCAAACATTACGAATAATCTGTTTTGGGAATTACGAGTATGTTTTGAATGAAAAGGTCATATATGACGATAAATTACTGGTCTAGTTACGCAGTCTCATGTGGGATACTTATCATAGACGGTATAATATAAGTATCTCGAAGTTGTGAATTCTTAACTCATTCATATAATTAGTTATAATACTGCCATCAGGTATTTTTTTGCCATTTAAATCATATAATCAAATATCATCTTCTTGCTACACAGCTTTACTTTACTATTAGTCAAATTTTTATCAAATTATTTGTCTTATTATAACGTCTTAAATCAATGCAATGGATATTTAAATAGTTAAAAATTTGTAACACTTAAGTGCAATTTCACTATTTACAAAGAGTGAAGAAAATAACATTTTCGTAGATCATTAAGACATTTCTATTATGCAAATTTTAGAATAACAAATTAACTTTTACTTGCAAATTATTACGTACTTGCGAAATGTTATTTGGTGCACATGATTTTATATTTCAGTAAATATTCGACTTGAGAGGATGCTTGAGTGCCTAGTTGTGGTTGTATGATCACTTTCTGTCTGTATTTGAACTACTTTCAAAATATATATATGATTAATCACTCGGTTAGGAATTATGTAAGAATTCCCGAGCTCGAAGAAAATTAATACGCGCATATCATTGCTTAGTTATCTCCATTCTTTGGTTTTATTACACTTTATTTTAAATAATCTTTGAACAAGACAACGTTTTTTATAATTGTATCAACGCTACTGGACACAGTTTTTTGAACAACACATACGGCTATGATAAGCGACGTATTTTGTGTACTTTAATTAATCTGTGGCGAAAAATTTGCGCGGGAAAATAAAGACCGCGCAAACTTCTTCTAGAGGAATTATTTTTGTTTTTTTTCCTATTGATAGTATAATTCGTATATCTATTATTATGACGTAAAAATATTACGTCGACTATTTAAGAAACAACACCCTAAGTTATTAGAGTAGCATAGATTAAATTTAGGTTTAGGTTACATGTGCCACAGATAAGATAATATTACATAGTAGTGCCTCTTTAATTGGTCATAGACATGACTTGCACAGTGCTTGTGAATACTCTGTACCTTGGATTTCTATATCAGAACGCAATTTACAAAGCAAGCATACTGCAGAAATGACTAGCTAATAGGTACCGTTCATCTGTCACGGTGGTCAGCGCAGATCGCGTGATGTAACAATAGTAATTTAGCATTTCATGTAACACCCAACTGAACGGTACTGGTCGTTTAACTATGTTCACCAATGGAACGTTATCTATCGTTGCAAGATCGTTGTTGATATGGAAAGAGAAAGAAATATTAAAAAGTATTAATTGGCTAGCTATTAGATATGTACTGGTGTAGGTATCTGCAATAACAGTTACGTAAGTTTCTATACTTTTAAGGTTTGTAGTTGTAATCTAACAATGGAATTTTAAACGTTCTGGTTAGGACCTTAACTTTCATATTCATTGGGAGATACTTGCAAAGTCATTAATTGATGCAAGTTCAAAATTTGATAAGTAAAAAAGGATGTAGCATTTGTTCATCCGATCGATCCGGCTTTAGCCGAGGGTCGAATTCCTAGCGGTGTCCTCAGACTAAAGTACATATTATCCATCAGGCGGGAGTTGGCCTTCAGTCGCTCTATAAGTCCGTTTGAGGGTTTAGAGTGCCATTTGCACTCGCCGCCTATCGTCCGGTGAAACTGTAAAGGCCACCTGCGGCCAAAAAAAAAAGATCTAAGGTAGCATAGGGGAGCCCTATTATCTTTTAGGTCTGTATACTTACATATTTCAGTTATGCAGATATTTATTATAGTTACATTGTGGGTTAGATTCCGTATCTAGATTTAATTACATAGTAATTTCATTTAGTTTACTAGCCTACTGCGTAACGTAATTTAACAAGCGGGTGTGAGATCTTATAGCTTTGAAAATGAATTGTTATATTAAGAAATTTGTCAAGGGTCGGTCTATAAAATATCAAGCAGGAGTGGCATCTTTGATAAGGAATTTCTATAATAAGAAATTGTCAAGAATTTGACTTTCAATATAAAAAAAAATTATAAATACAGTTAGTCAGATGTTAAAGTATTCAATCAAACAAAAGAGAAGGAATCACTTTGCTATGAATCGTTAAGGGTCGAGAAAAACACAAAGCAATTGAATTGTATGTTTAATTTTATTCCATCATCATTGACACATGTATAAATTAACTGCCGATGGTCATGGAATCCCTGTTTCCTTCACCATGGACGGCTGGTCGACGGTAGGGCTGTCCCCAGGTACCAGAGCGGGACGCGGCCGGGAACGTGATCCCTGCATGGAAGAGACAGATGCTGGCTAGGAGAGCAGCCGAGAAAGCTAGACGGGACTTGGAGAGAGAGCTAGCTGGAGAGGCAGAGAGGAGAAGAGCGGCGGCTGTACCTGCGTGGAAGAGGCAGCTACTCCAGAGGAGAGAAGAGGCTGAGAATAGACTGAGGTATATATATTTCTTCTTTTAACTCCTTGTTTGTGTTTCTATTTACTACTGTTAGTACAATATATTTCTTATTTTTTGTTTACAAGTTTATAATAAACAAAATTTTTACAATGAATTTGTAGACAACTCCCGATTTCAACGACATCGGTGGTCTAGCACACCGCTTTACGGTGGTCGCGGGTTCGATTCCTCGCATGGTGTAAACGTTTATGTTCATGGGTATGATTGTTTGTATCGGTCTGGCTATTTTCTATATATATTATTATCTATTTAAAAAAAAACTAAGTATTTATATCAGTAGTCTAGTACACATAACACAAGCTCTGCTTACCGTGGGACTAGATAGCGCTGTGTTAAGTTAACGTCCAGGGTTATTTATTTCAATTAAATTTTTTGCCGTCAAGTAGATATTTTGTAACTTAGTTTCGATTGAAGAAAATAACAGGGTCATAATACTCTGGAATGACGCTTTCCACCTGACCACTCTTGCCACACGATTATGTTATGTGTGTGGATTGAATATATTTTAACTTTACTTAATATTTTATTTAGACACTACAATTATTACTATTTACTCGTTCATAGCAGAAACCAGAGAGAATATATAGACGATAAGTTACAGATTAATAAATCTTTATGTATCTCCATAGATTATACTTTAACATATGTTTATATTAAAAATAATGAGTTATCTATAATAATTCTACCCATGTGAATTTGGCCATATATATACGAACTAGAAAAGAATACGAGCTGAGTTTCTTGTCAGTTCTTCTCATCTTGAAATCGTTCCGAACTGACGGTAGATTTGATATATCATAGGAGTCTGCAATAGACCTACAGTCCTACATAATAAAGATATTTTGTGTTAATATTACATACATACAATTGTAATTATTTCAGACAATCCATGTACACACCAAAAGTTGAAGAGACGACCGGCACCAACGGCTCCACGAACGGCGACTGGCGCGCCTACCCGAGCGGCACCCAGCGGGCAGTTTCTATAGACAACATTACTCTATGCTACGAAACTCCCTCGCAGCCGGCCCGAGCGCCCTCGGAGGCGAAACTCTCCACTGACCATTGTAACGGTTAGTTAACATCTTAAGGATAAAGGTAACGTCCACATCGAATATGCGCTTGAGGAGCCTCGCTGTATCAAACGCAGTTCATTGTGTTGGGGGCCATCCATTAATTACGTCACACGTTAGGGGGTAGAACGGGGGGATGAGGGAGAGTCGACAAGGGGGTGGAATGGAGATGAGTCGACAAGGGTTTTTTTAGTGGATGATAATGGAATGATGCACCCGCCTGCGCTAACGGTTTACGCTGGCGGGGCACCAGTGGAAGATGATATGATCAACATGAAGTCAGGTCAGTTAGCCCATTGTGATAAGTTCATCGGGAATTTATCACGATGGTTTCCAGGAGGAACTGCGTGGAGGTCAACCTGATATGGTACATTGTTAGCAATGGGATCATCAGTACACATTACTAACAATCCCCTTCCCCCCGACAAGGGGGTAGAACGGAGAGGGAGTCTAAAAGTATAAATAAAAAAAAAAAAAAAAGAAAAGAAAGGAAAAAAAAAGGAAGAAAGGAAAAAGGGGGAAAGGGAAGTGAAAAAGGGAAAAAAAAAAAAAAAAATTGCCGAATTACGACAAAAAGTGATAAGGTGATGGAAAGAGTTCTTAATTTTGTCATATTTCAAAATCTAATAAGTAACCCACCAGATTTAGACTATTAACGAAAATAGTTCTAATTTCAAAATATATAATTACTAGAGAAGACTGAGGTCCCTGATACGATCAATCTCTCGTCCAATTCCAACGGGATCGAAATTACGACAGTCTGAGCCGAGGTTGAAACCCATAGCTGTACCGTCAGACTAAAGTGTCATAACCGTCAGGCAGAAGTTGGCCTTCAGCCGCTCTATAAGTCCTTCGTTAGAACTCCTAACCCCCATCCCATTTGCACTCGCCCCTATCGTTTGTTGAAGTTATAACGTTCGATCCTCCGTGTAATTCAAACGGGAATCGAAATTACGACGGTCTGAGCCTAGGTTTCAACCCCTAGCGGTACCCTTAGACTAAAGTCGTGTTTCAAGAGTTGGCTTTCAGCCGCTCCACAAAACCTTCCGCGGGTTAGAGATGTCATGTGCACTCGCTCCCTATCGTTCGGTGAAGCTGTAAAGGTCAGCATTAAAATAGTTAAAAAAGAAAGACCCTTCCTTTTTTGGGTCCCATAAGTGTGACCAACTGTGACAAGCATCTTAAATTATTTAAAACGTGTGACGTGACTTATGGATTGCTCCTTGACTGGACCACGCTCCGCTGCTAACAAGCCGTAAGATTACAGAAATATAGTGTTGTTTTTTTTAATAATAACGATTGCTATCTTTATATATTTTACAAACCTGTTAGTCCAATAATCATTATGTCAACATTAATCCAGTTTTTATTTTATTTTAAAGAATAGGCTGTATGGCTTTGTACCTTTGTCTTTCGCGTTGTGAATAAACTATTACTTCTTATATACTAATGGTAGGTTGTAATATAATGTACATAGTGTACAATAATGTACGTATACTTATACACTTATACGTATTCTACACGTATACCATATAGAAGATAAATATCTGTTATTTATTATGAAGAGAGTAAGATAACTTGCAAGTTATAAGAATAAAAAAAAACAAATCAAAGTTATTTTAACAAGCAATAGATAGAGTGACTCAAGATGAAGGTTTGCATGTATAATACATGCGTGTATAGAACAAGTCTAGAAATTCAAAGATTTGTAATGTATCGGTCGCTAGTAAAAAATAAATATACGAGTCAAATTCATAATTAATAGTATAGATAATTAATAAATAGCAAAATATACTGATGATTTAAAAATACAGCTATAAGAAACTTGCTCGCTTTTTTACTCAACTAAGCGTACCTACTTTAATCATAAGATCTTAATATCAACAATAAACGTATTTTAACTATTAATTTTGTTATCCTCATTAAAGTTTTAAAGAAAGAGATGAAACATTAGATTACTTAAAATGTGTTTATGGGACATTTTATTACTTTATGAGTAAAGGGTGCGGTATTCATTCTGCATCTGCTTAGTTATATATTTTCCTGTCTTTAAATTCCATTATACTATCTCATTTTTATACCAATTCTGTCAAACTGTCAAAATATACAAAATGTAAAGTGTACAGTCAACCATAATTAGTAAAACGAATAACATTCATACGCGGTATATGAACAAATTTTGTGTTATATATATATATATATATTTAACAAAAATGTTTTATGTTAAATATATATATATAAATATATATATATATATATATATATATATATTTAACATAAAATATTTTTTTTTCTTAACACGTCGTCAGTTTCTTTAAGGAGAATTCAAAATTTGTTCATTGGCTGTGATATGAAAACATAATAAACAAACAGATTTATTTTAATAACACTAAAGTTCTTTATTATATTTCCAGAAACTGATGTCTATATATATATGTATGGTGTTTCCATCAAATCGTTTACCAGATTTGATGGAAATTGATATAGACTATACTCTTTCTATTTGATGCAATTTATATATTTATCTATATATATTTTTTTCTCCAATTTAAGCGGGTGAAACTGTGGCATACATCTAGTGCCTACAATATTAACAAAATACTCTATTATTGTTTCTATACATAAAATAACAAACCCATTTTATTTTATATACGTATAAATATATAATTTATATTTCTTAAAGTTTATTTATCATCAAAGCTCTCTTCCAGCCTGTGCCTACTGCTGTGATTTTGCTACCTAATAAAATAGTTTTATGTGTGCAGTTAAAATTAATTACGAGTATATATTGTATAGAACATGTACAAAATACACTTTTGGCGATAAAATAAAACATAAATAGGTTTTCAGTTAAATAAAAAAAAACTTCTTTTAATTTTTATGAATTGTGAAACTTAGTTTCATTTATTCATCTACAGTATTTTGAGATATAATAAAATGTATATACAAAATATATTTCTTATAGTACAACATGCACATTAGTAGATAACGTCCATTAATACCATTAAATGGGCTGATCTATTGTATTGCCATACTTTTAATAAAATTCATGAGGATGCTAGTTGGTTTTGGGGTTGCCATGACTTGGTATGAAGACAAAACACAATTTTTTATCAGTCGAACACTTAATTATTAGGCAATATGACTTTAGAAACCATTTTATTTGCAGGTTTCTCAAATGGCAAACACGAAGACGATGAAGATAGCGCCAAAATAATACCGTGGCGAGCCCAACTACGCAAGACAAATAGCAAACTTAATTTACTCGAATAGTTAGTTTATGGTAAGTTAGTGTTGCAACAGTAAAATATAACTTGATATAATTTCCAAGACTAACGATAATGCGTATAATGGAACGGTTACTTTCTGTCTCGTTTTCACTGTCCGAAAATTGAGATGGTGGGAAAGAGACAAGTCATTTATCGTTCCGTTTTACGCAATCGCGTTAAGGGGTCTGTTGTGCATGTTTCGTGTGACAATGCCATAGTGGAAGCATAATGTCTGTTACTTGTTAATATAAAGTGTATAAAATACGATCAAACTCCAAATTAAAATATTTTAGGCAATTATTTAAAAACAAAATTGAGTTGTGCAGATCATCTTTTCTTCTTAAAGAAATTAGTGGTTTTGCTGATTTAGGAACGGATTTTAGGTTAGATAGTTTATATCGGAAATAATTATAATTTTATTATTTTTATTGATATGTGTTCGCCAGTGTTTGGATCTTTTTATTTTCGAAACTTTGTCACAGTCGATGTATGAAAATAATTTCTAGAAGATTCGTGAGATGTAACTAGTAGGTATTTCAAATATTTTTTTGGTACATTGTCATATGTATCCAATTAAAATATATGTACACTTGTTTCGAACATATTGAGTTCGTTTTCGATATACGTATGATAAACTTAAGAATGTATGTATTTTTATACAAATATTTTATATTTTGTATTAAATTTTTTACGAAATTTTCGTCAAATGGACATGTAAAAATGTAAATCTACTCAGTTATTTTATATTTAGATATAATAATATTGTCATAATGTTTTGGACGTTTGAATATAAAATTTGGCTTTAAATGTTTGTGAGTCTCTGTGTGAAGCCAAAATCAAGAGTTTTTATTATAAGACAAGAAATGTATTTAAAAATATTTAAGTTCTTTTTTATTGTGCAGGTGATACCATTGTTGCAATATTAGATCGTAAGCTTGTGTGAGGGCTTTTGCAAATTTGTACGTCCTTATTATATATGCCTATATGTAATTGAAGTATTGATGTGTGAGTTACATAGTACGACAATCGGAATTATAATGTTGTTAAATAAAAACGCTGTTGCTTTACATACATTTTAATTTTTTTTAATATCCATACTTCTATTCTTATACATATTATACAATTTGACGGCTTGTGGTCTAGCGGTTTAGCAAACCGCTTTACGGGTTCGATCCCAAACTCTGAGTAGCTTGACACTAGATGGCGCTAAATGCATTGTACAGGGATTATTATTATATTTGATTAGCGACTTCAGCTGTATTCATCCTCGTGATACGATCTACCTTCATATCAAATTTCATCAAAATTGTCCGTTTAACCGTGAATTTAAACACAGATCGACACATCGAATTTTTAAAACTAGTATGGATGGCCGAAGTAAGCCGAATATTCGTTTTCTGTCCGCTGATTTATTAGTACAGTATATTGCAAAAAATTTTTTGCAATAAAACAATAACTCAATATAGCATTGGGAATAATTCGTGGTCATAAAACGCATTCAGTTTAAGCTGTTATAAATTCACTGTGGTTGAAAAAGCAATAAACATGGTCATAAAATGGGAATAAGAATTATGACACCACAATGAAAAATAATATTGTCTCGACATTGAGAGGTAAGTTGAATCAAATTTATAATTAAAATTTCTAAAATATAAAAATGACTACTGAATCTTATCACCGGCCCAAAGAGTCGAGGAACGTGTCTAAACTTGTATAAACAAATATATTAATAAAAGGGAGTATAAAGAGGTACAGACCCCTACTAATCAGTCCGTTATCAATAACGACCTAAAGAATACGGAGATAAACAACTCGACTACCCAGGACAGATATTCCTGGCGAATCAGAGAGAGATAAAAATGTTATTGCAATATAGGTACATATTATATTATAAAGTAGCTGATTCCCAAGAGGTTCAGCAGATTTTGAAAATACATTCAAATTCGACGTTTACATTAGTGTTGTTTGTTAGTTCCTGTTTGCCACCTACGTAATTTAAAAAAATAGTGGTATCGATTTGGCTATGCGTTGATAGTAAATGTAAGACTTTGTAAGTATAAATTAAATTAATCAATTAATGTTGCAATAAATACGATAACTTTGAAAGTAATAATTAATTTTGCAGTTATAGTGCTGGTAATCGGAGTTACAAAAGTAGTACATGCAAAGGATAACAAGTTTAAAGATGAACTGCTAGATTTTTCCCTGTTATCAAATATTTTTAAGGCGCTTATCAAACCATACATACATCCAATACAAGCACCGTATAAAGCAGTCCTTAGATCTGTCCATGAATTGTCGGTGGGAAGGACAATAAAAAACAAAGTAGATGAGTTGAAACCACTATTGCAAGATTTAGACGTGACTGATGACATGAACGATAATCTAACATTAGAAGGCAAAGATGAAACAACAATTATTGAATTTTTACCTAAATACAAAACAAAACATGAAAATAATTTGAAAATACAAGATAAGAGATCTGAATCATTAAAATCAAACATACAGAAATACAAAAATGTGAGGAGGAAAATTAAAAAACAGCTTGAAAATGAGCATGTTTCAGGTAAGACACAGAATTTAGTAATGCATACATTTGACGATCTGTTGGCAAAATTATTAGGTAGTCAATGTAATTGGAAAAATTATACACGTGATAAAGTTAAAAGAAATGAAATTAATAGATTACAAAGTTCAATGACAGTAGCACAATCTTGGAGCAAGGGATGGAACATGTTAAAAGAAGAGTATTCCGAATTAACAAAAGATCAACCGACTAACAACACAAATCCAGGTGTGAAGTTATTTACATTTTTCAACCAAATACAAGAATTTTTATCTCACATTTTCAAAGATGCCGTCGATCTGTCAGATCATTACACTGTAATGTGTAAATTTGTGAAGAAGGATGTTAATAATGAAAATGTAAATAATATGTCTGGTGATACAAATGATTTAAGAAGTGATAAACAAATAAATAAGAAACACAAGTGTCCAAATTTCAAAATGTGCACAAATGAACTAAAAAAGTTCATGTTTGCTTTATACAACTCCATAAATGACACAGCTATTAGCGTTTTAAAAAATTACGCCTCAATGTATGTGAGTGATGTAAATACAGATGGAAGTAATGAAAAAGAAGTTGTTGTTAATTTAATTAATAAATTTGGGGACATATCAAAACGTAAAGTGAGTAAAATATTCAGAAAAGAAACTTCACGTTTTAACTTAGACAAAAATAAGAATAAAGAAAATAATATTAAATATTTGAAACTTTATATTAAAAATACGATAATGAAATGCAAAGAGAGTATAACAAGTAAGTTGGATGACAATTTGCAACCGCCTAAAGCCAGGCTGTTATTAGCAGTCAAACAAGATATTCGTGTAAACTTCGATGTAGATTTCGGTAATCTCGAAAGAGATTTAAAAGGAACTATATGTGTGGCTTTTTCAACGTGTAACGGTAAATATAATGCTAGAGGAAATATCAAAACCAAACGTTACGGTGTCGATAGGAACAGTATTTATGTTAAAGTGCAGTTCAATTTAGATGATGTAATTAAGGATAAAATAGTGAAAACTGGAGAATCTATTTTTAGGCCTGGGGTAAGAGCTGCAAACCATACTGATCAACGCTACAAAAAATTTAGAAAGTATCTTGATCGTACTCCAGTAATAATTGAAGAGAAATACAACAATATTATTGTCACTAGAACAACATATGGAAAATCAATTCAAAATCTAACTCTAACTACAAAGAGTGGTACAAATCAATGAAGTGTCTTCATCTACACTAATAACTCTAAATTGGACAATGTTTTGAAGATATTACAAATAAAAATGACAATTAAATATTGGCAGTTTATTTATGTTCCTTATATTAACAATTTTACAAAAGCAATCTTAGTACTATAATTATAAAAATATATATACAAAAATTTAGGCGTGTTTCCTTAGTTTCTTGGTCTTCAGAATTCCAGAATTGTCTATACTTAACTTGTCATCAGTATTTGTCTGTGTACACGATTGGGAAATGTTGTACTCGGCCACTAGTCCACGCGATAGTGAGGCACGCACCAGCATCGAAATTTTGTTGAAATGCAATTGTCGTTGGTATTTCGTTCTCAATACCACACACGAAACAACTGAAAATAGGTATATTATGAAGCATTTAATGAATGTTACAAGACAGCCTCTTTTGTTCATGAGTATGATTGTTTTGGTTTGGGTGTTTTCCATGTATATCATACAGGTGTGCCTGTGATTTCGTCCGCGTGGAATGACCTTTTCGAATAAGGCTTCTAGCTTTAAGACTAACGATACTACCATACAACCTTTCATCTTCCCTTTCAACACTTTCTTTCACATTAAAAAGTCCTTTCTCAGTATATACACTATTTGTGTACAAAATTTCATTTAAATCGGTTCAGCAGTTTTGGCGTGAGACAAGTGAGATAGACCAGACAGAGTTACTTTCGCATCTACAATATTAGAAATATAAATAAAAAAGTAATAAGTAATTAAGGATAAGGAAGGAATTTACAAAAAAAAACATCGCTACATTTAGTAATATATATTATATAATAATACATACCAAGGAGTAATTTTAAGCTGCAACATCAAGTGTGTAGTGCAGAATACAGCCACCAAATATGACTCCTCAAACATGAGTGCCAGATATTTTCCAGAGGGGTCCCAACACATGTCCAATATTGATCCACCGGCAATTTCACCTGTAGGTAACTCTATCTTGGTCACATCCAAAACAGGTACTGCTTTACTGCTCTGGGAACCTGAATAGATTACAATGGTAAGTATTGGATATTATTTGCAGTTATTGTAATGGCATATATAAAGAAGATAATATATCAATATGTAATATAAGAATTATCAGAACTCACAGGGTACACACAACAGACCAATCAAGTCAGATATATTTGTAATGGTAAACATTTATTTTAGTTTTGACAGGGTCACATTTAACATCAGCCATTATCCACAGCCAGAGGAAGAGAGAACATAGACAATGTCATAGACTTTTTTTTCAATTTGCAATAACATTCTTATATTTTATTTATTCTACATTCTTTTTGTGGTACTTTATTTTCATGTTTAACTTTTTATAATATAAGAGATCACACATAGTTACATACCACTCATTAGTCCGGTGTTAGTCAGGGCATACACTATTGGTTCTCCTTTAGCGGCAAAGAGCAGCAGATCTTTGGGTCCCCAACAGGCTGCCACCACTCGACAACCCTGTGCACACCATCTTTCTGGTTTCCAGCTTTTAGTGTCCCACACCCTGCCATTTTTATTTACATATTATCATACTCAAGCAACCAATAAATAATTTAATTTCAAACAATTTGTGAAGATTTTGATTCTTCAAATTTACAAATAAATTAATTACCAATACACACACACACACAACACATATCATAGTGCCATCTAGTACTGTGAACTTTAACTACATTATTTCTTTGACAATGCATGCTTTGACAAGTACATAAAAAATCCTAACATTCTTATCATTACATATTAATCAATAAAATAAAATTAAAAAGTATACATTAAATAGTATTGTATTTATTATATACTTTTTAATTTTATTTTCCATTAAATCATGGAATAGGAAAATTAAATGAAGACTAATGAATCACTTTTGCTTTTCTGTGAGCCATTCTATTTTATATTTTTGTCTATATTTTATTACTAGAAATAACAATGTTGCCTACAGCAAAAATGATGGTTAGTAAGATTGCCTAGATTTTAAAATAATCTTTCAATACAAAACTAAAAGTAGGTTTTCAGATGTAATTATTGATATACTAGCTGTTCTCGATGTGTCACCTGCGTGAAATTTATAGCCTGTATGTTAATCTGACGTAGCTATAATATTAGAGTAAACATTCATCAAATTTTTTTTCTATAACAGGGGACAAGCGAGCATGCGGCTCACCTGATGGTAAGTGATTGCCGTCGCCCAAGAGCACCCGCAACACCTGGTCAATTGCAAGTATGTTGTCGGCCTTTTAAAAAGGTTTCATTATCATATTGGTTCGGAAATACCATTGCTGGAAGGTGATTCCATAAATTGATTGTGCGTGGCAAAAAGTTTCTAGAAAACCGCACTGTGGAGGACCGCCATTCATGCAGATGATCAGGATGGTATTTTAGTTTCTGGCGGGTGGTTTGTTCAGTAGTTTTTGTATGAAAGACTAACAAACATCCATCCATACTCTCAAACTTTTATAATATTAATAAAATATATTTCTGTCATTATCAATATATTTATTACTGTCATTATACACACCTAAATATAATTGAAGAGGTAGCAGCAAAGACTTTACTGGCATCAAATGACCATCGAGCGAATACTATGCCCCCACCAGCAACTCTCCGCAATGGTACAGCCGTTTCCATAGCAACATCCCACACAAGCATAGATGTATCGGCTCCAGAACAGCTGATGAGTAAATCCCCGTTTGGAGACCAGCTCACATCAGTCACGGGGCTGTGCCCAGTTCTGAAATTAAGATATATGTTTTTATTAAAAAGAAATGCTAACAAAGATAAATTAAGGATATATATATTATATGTATATAAAATATAATAAATAAATATAATATATATATAATAATATATATTTCTGATACTTATATAGTAAAATACAGAATTTAAAAAAGGACAAGAGTGGGTATCTAATATATTACATTTAATTAAAAATGAAAACAGGCATGGGTTTATCTCTGAAAGAGAACTCTTTCACCTAGGATAAGAATTATTGTATGATTAACAGAAAGTTTAATATTACCAAAATTATTTTGACATTATACACACATATCCCTGCCATAATCTTTTCATGCTTAAGAGAATAAGATGAGCTGAAATTAGTTTGTTAGCGCATTGTGGAAAATCTATTGCAATTGGCAAATAACAACTCATTACAAGAAGTATATCATTATATCATTCTTTTTAAACTATAGTAGTAACTAGCTGGATAGTAGATATAGTTATAAAACTCTCCTATGCCAGTAAAGAATCTTAGACTTCTTACCTTTTCAATAAAACAGCATTACTCGAAGACAGTTTGGTAAATATTGAGTTAGGGTCCACAGTCCATATTAAAACACCTTGTTCACAACCAACAGCTATTTCTGACGCTGAGTATGGTCTCCAACATAGTGAGGATACATGACCCTGCGCTTTGCACTTCAATGTTGACACAAACGCAACTTCAGAGCAATAAACTCTCACATTATCGTCCGATGTTGCTACTGCTATTTTTGTTGTATGTGGATGCCAAGCCATGCATTTAACTGGTGCATTTCCCCAATTCCTTGTCCTAGAGTAATTTGACACGATTTTAGGGCCAATATCCTTCAAATGTGGTTGCAGGAAGTACCGAAATGCTGTGAAGATATTTGCCACTTTTAGCACATAAGAGGCAGTGACAGCAAGGAAAGGGCTATCCCTGTTGACGTTGGGGTCAGCGGCTACACTTAGAGCTTCCAAAATACCCTGTTTATATAGTACACTAGTGATTTTCTTCAATAAGTTATCTTCAACTTCGATGTACATACTAATATTCTCATCTGTAGTTCTGTGGTGATGTACATCTCTTGATACGTTAATTACAGGATGAGTTTTCGTCTGGAATTTTATAAAACAAATTCGTATAGTACTTATTTATTGGTCTATTAAGTGAAAAATTTAAAGTAACCTTACCGTGTTAGTGAATGTAGTAATATTTCCGTAACGCACATTACCGCAGCAGTAAACCTCGTTTATTTTACAAAATGCAGTATCGTTTTGTCCAGGTAATTCAGGGAAACCGTGAAAAATAGACATTTTGTAGTGTAAAATATTTTACCGGTAAAAATTACCTGAAGAACAACAAGAAATTAAACAAAATTTAAATTTTGCTCTGACAGATGTCAATCAAATGACGGTTCATTTGACGTCAAATCGTTGACGTTGACATTTAGGTCACAGTCGCAGTGTAGTTCAGCAGCACATCAGAACCAAAGATCTCAAATTACAGTTCTTTTTAAAAATTAGCGGCGAATATTCTTTACAAATGTATTGAATTTAGCAATTTCTAATGTTAATGTAATATACCATTATTGTATGCAAATTTTAACACTATAAATTCTATTCATAAGTAAAATTAGTAATTAGCATAATTGAATAAACCTATTTTCACGTAGATATTTTTTTATTACAAAAATTTATTAGTATCTAAATAGGTAGTAAAAATTACTTTATAACTTTTAATTTTTAGGAATAAAGGAGTATGGTATTATGTAGGTTATTGTATCTGTTATCATAGTTCTGCTTAGTTTGGGTTACGTAGACAATGGAAAGGCAAACAAGCTGACGACTTAACGATGACCTTATGGTAAATGATTTCCGTTGTCTGATGACACTAACATGGGCCGTTGTGACTTGTCCGTAGCTATTTAGAAGGACTAAAATGAGGCATGATGCCTTCGTAGCATGTAATTTCACTGATTACCCTTCGACTGAATACAATAAATAAAGAAGCTGTTGTGAGACTGGCTGAAATATATCTATATATATAAAACAATGTATAATAAGAAAAATATTTCCTTCAAAAGGATTTATTATTACTATTAATTATAAAATAAACATACTCTTTGCCGTTTCCTCTTCACCCCAAGTTATTTATTCTTATTTTTTGGGAACGAAGTTGTTTTTATTTTATGCGTAGAATTCTTAAAATAGGGGCAAAGTTAAAAGATTTAAAGACAGAGATAAGACTAAGCTGGCGTATTCAAAGTGTAATAAGGTACCATTCACAGTGAATTTACTGAGCGAGCCCCGAGATTTATGTAAAGCTGTATGTCTCGAAGGTGACAGCTGAGTAATTGATTCTTTTTCAGCGTCATGGCGAGGGTGCTGGAACTTTAAGGTGTTTTATGGTACGACGTAGCGAAAATTCATTATAAACTTTTTATAATTAAGTATATATTTTGCCATTAAGTAGATATATGTTTGATGATCTAGCGGTTTAGTACTCTGGTTTACTTCCGGTGATCGCGCCTTCGATTCCTCGCACGGTACAAACATTTGTATTCATGATTATGATTGTTTATATTGGTATGGGTGTTTTCTATGTATGTTATGTATGTGTTCCCTAAAATCGAATCTATATCAGTTGTCTAGCACCCATAACACAAGCTTTGCTTACCTTAGGACTAGATGGCGCAGTGTGAATTGTCCCAATAAATTCCTAAATTTATTTCTATGGCAATAGTACTTTAAGCAAATATCTTATGTTAATAATATTATAAACGCGAAAGTTTGTAAGTATGGATGGATTTTTTGTTACTCTTTCACGCAAAAACAACTGAACGCATTTTGATGAAACTTTATAGTAATATAACCTATACATCAGAATTACACATGGGCCATAAATTTCAGACGGGTGAAACCGTGGGCAAAGTAAGTACCAACATAATCGATTACTTAGTTGCCTACACTTGCCTACATTATTTGCAACTTGTACCTAAATAATTGAAAATTGTACAGTCATGTTTACTATTGCGTTTTAATTAGATTTCGCTTGTTGATAGTTTATTGGTGCTTAAGGCTAAATGTAACTAATCATTACACGTTTAGTCGTAAACGGCATACGAAGCTGGTGATACTGTTCGTGAAATTGAACAATATTTCACAAGAAAGAAAGTGGAAATTTAAAAACATATTTTTGAATCCTTCCTACATATATTCACGTGCGAGCGATCACGTGATCAATTTATTAAAGTTCGTTAATATATTTCATTGTAATTTCCATTTCATTTCTTAGTGAATACAGTTCATAGTCATAAGTGAGATTGACTAGGTATATCCTTTACAAATTACTCAGTATATGTATAGGTGGAATACACAGACGTATTTGGTAGTTTAGATTTCCACTTTATTTCTTAGTAAATACAGTTCATATTCATAAGTGAGATTGACTAAGTATATCCTTTACGAATTGTCCAGTATAGGTATAGATAAAAGATACCTACAGTTGCATTTGGTAGCTTAAATATCCTAAGATAGATTAGATATCCAAGGTTTTTGGATATAGAAAAAGTTTATTCCATCTACTAGTATGTCGAAGGCACTGTTGAGAATATTGGAAATAATAAGTAAGTTACATTATTATACATTAAATTTAATTGCCAGACTATTTTAATGCAATAAACATAACTTATTTCTATGTACTATATGTTTTATTTGATGATAACGGAATTGTGCACCCGCCTGCACTACGGTTACGCTGGCGGGACACCAGTGGAGGATGATGAGACGAGCATGAGATAAAGTCAGTAAGCCCATCATGATAAATTCACCAGGAACTTATTCGAGGTTTCCAAGGGGAACCGCGTGACAACCTGTCATGCAACATTGATAGCAATGTGGCTATTAGTCCACATTCCTGAAAATTCTCGTCCCACCGTAATATATATTATATTACAAAATGGAAATGTATATGAATATTTTTGTCTCCTGTATAGTAGCCATAACACAAGCTTTGCTAAGTTTGAAACTGGATGGTGTTGTGTGAATTGGGATATTATTGTCATTATAGTTATCATGTATCTACATATTGTCAGTCTAATATCATCTGTAATATACATCGTCTCTACCAACAACATTGTATTACCCCGCAACACTAAGCAGAGCTTTTGTTATGGGTACTAGACAACAGATATAAATACATAGATACATAGAAAACACCCATATTAGTACAAACAATCATACTCATGAATACAAAACTACTGATACTAAACCATTTAGAACACTGATTTACAAACATTTGTATTCATGATTATGATTGTAGGTCATCTAGGAAGTTAAAATTGAATTGAATAATAATTTAAAATTTATTGTCAATCTGTATCAGATTAAAAAAATTACTATTTATCTAATGACGTTATTTTCAGGTGCGGTCACAATTTTTTCAATAATCGCTGTCAATTCAAGCGATAATGAAGTCACGGAAACAGATGTAAATTTGATCATTAATTTACCAAATATGACTGAAATAACACAATACTTAAATATCACAGACTTGTATAATAAGTTTAAGGTACGCACATGAACATTATTTGTTATCTGTAGCATTTATTCTAACACTGGTCTTCTGCACCCCCTAGTGGTAAGGGGAGCCCCTTTGCCCCGGCAAAAACTCCCAACAAAGAACCCCTGGGTAACTGGATTGCCTTTTGGGGCCGGTTCCTAAAAGAAACTTAAATTCTAAAATCTAAGCTACGGATTAAAAATAAGCATTTATTAAAGTCACTGGCATAGGAAAGAAAGTTGGATCGTCAACTAATGAATGTGGCAAATGTCGTCTTCATGTGTTGTCATTCCGTAGAGTATATCTAATCCCATCAAAAACATAAATGTGAAATGATAGCCGAGTTTAATATTAAGATATATGGCTTGATTGTTGACTTCTACGACAAAAGAGATGAGATCTAAATGGGTGCCAAGTTCAATGGTCTGTCCTGAAATGTATTTATAACAATATAAAATATCATTTCTTCTTATAACTTACGATAATATACTGTAGCCTAAGGTCTAACTTGGCCAGTTCTCATATACCAATTATTACTTTCGATTGCTAGTTACTATTAATATTAAAATAGGAACCGACAAGTAACATGTTTAGAACTTGCGAAGGCTACAGTATATTTCGTTCTCATTCTCGAGTTAACTGTACATTCCTACTTATAACTATACTAAAATTTTTATTAATTTTTGGTTTAAACTATTGTCTATACCATACGTATTTACTAAAATAATGTAATAATAATATAATCACAAATATATAAGTATAATTTAAGAAAGCTATAAATTTCGTAGCATAAATCGCAACCTTATAGGTTAGATATCCAGAAACAAAACATTGAGTTTTATCGCACCGCTCCCACACGGCGCCACCGCGGCGCCCTATACCGAAATGCCTATTATTTAATAATTATTTATAAAAATAATGATTTCACACTATCGATGTGCGCTAAATATTGAACCAATAATTAATACCAAATCTCAGTTAATAACATAATAAATACGAAATTCGACTATACTCCTAGTTATAAGTACGAGTATATTTTAGACAGAATCTAAATTATAGCAACTAGTGTTTACCGCTCAATGCAATATTTGAAGTTTGCTAGTTATCGACACTGATGTGAAGGGGTCAACGTAAATTGGTAATGATCGACGTTTTCATACAATATTACTTTCGGTCCAGTACAAGATGAGATTTTTCGCCAGGGATCAATGTCAATTGGTGGCTATCGACGTTTTCATAGAATTTTAGTATTCGTCCAGTATAAGTTGAAATAGAATCAATTAAAGTGAAAAATTGTAGTAAAATGATAACAATTTACCAGTTTCAGATTTTTTCCTTTATATTCACCTAATTACCTATCTGCATACCAAATTTGAACTTCCTAGGTCATCTGGAAATGGGTTATAATTTTGATCTATAGTTGATCAGTGATAAAAATGACGATTTTTGGACATTAATATCTAATTAACCGTTTGAGATATGTTTATGAAATTTGGAACACATATTTATCTCGCAAGTCTCAATATATGAACCAAATTTGACAGGTTTGTGTGAAAGAGTTTTTGAGTTATGAGGGGGTCAAAAGTGGCTCCAAATGGTTCGTGTAAATATACACACGGTGCTGCAAGCCAGTTTACTTGAAACTCGGCTTGACACGCTGCCGCGTGTCTAGATACATCATATCATGCCTGTCTTCTTGTGTTGTCATTCTGTCATAGAGTAAATCTAATATATCCTAACATGCCTCCTACCCTGCAATTTTATTGCCTAACCTGAATTTGCCTTTGAAACAAAAATAAAACTTAAACTGTCTACAATAAACATAAAATTAGGGGCAATACGGATACAACAGTGGTAATAAAATCAGTTGGGCAGCGGTACACTGACATCAAAGTAGTCCTGATTTTACTATACACGAGGCGATTCCGCTTACTAGACGATAATTGCCTCTAACGATTTTCCTACACACGATGAGATCTATGATGCGCCTTGTAATTGCGCCGATATTGCCTCGATTTAAGAGACGTATGTAGACATGTTAGAGACAGATATCCACAACGACTTGAAAAAGAAGCATAGACTACACACAGTTAGTCGTGTATATCGTGATACAATTATCGCCTTTTTTGGTACTGGTTTGTAGTTTGTAGTTTTTCATGACATTATTAATTAGAAATTTTAAAAAATATGACTGTAAATTGTTGGTTAAAAAAGTTGTTACAGTAACATAATATATTTGGTAATAATTTTCGTCTTTCTCTTCTATTTTTGTTCATTTATAATTCCGTAAGTATATATCTAAGTAAAACTAGTGGAGTAGCGTGGGAGGTGTAAGTAGAACTAACTAACACTAGCTCAGCAAGCATCTCGTTATATAGAGGGCTTTAATATGTTCTATGTTTATTTTGTGTATTTAGTTTAGTTCCTGAAGTTTACCATCTCTATATGTATTACTAGAAACATTTATAAAAGGTTTATAGAAAACGCTGTTAAGTATTTTCAGAGGTCAAATAGTAAGTAAAATAATTTTTACCGAGCTAGACTACGTATAACGTCGTCTGCTTGACTTGTTCTGTCTCACTCATTTTAACCGCCAAGCAGCTTGTCTTGTAAGTTGTATTTCGTATGTAGGATGAGATTAGGTAGCGTGTTAGTGTATGTATACAGACATTTACTTAATTTTTTTCTGTTCCTTGTATATCCGCAATCAGTAAGTGTACTATAATCGGATTGGTTGGTAAATGACTATGCAAGTCTGCAGTCCCAGTACTCGACGAAAAGGTTAAAATATGCCTCCGCCGCTTTGATTCGATTTCAAGACTCGGAGTACACTTTATCCAACTCCAGTATTTGTACCCTTTTCAGGCGTTTTGGGGGGTTGTTAATGAGTAACCTCTGGGCTAGCTCATTAGGGTAGGCACTCAGCCGAACCTTATATTTTGAGCTTGTGCTAGCAACCTCCTCTCGTACTGTAGGTAAATTCGAGAAATGATGGATCTTCGAGTTGGTTATAAACCATGGTAACTTAAGAATAGTCTTTAAGATGGCGTTCTGGGACCGTTGGAGAATTTCAATGTTGCAGCTACTAGCACTTCTACTACTAGTAATTTACTTAATGGATTAATATAATTTATGCTAGAATTAACATCTGTGAGATCACAAATATTCAGTACGTAAATCTGACTACCGCTACTGGAAGCGCTACGACCTTCTCTATTGGCGATCAAATTCCGGCCGTTGAATCTACACCCATATTGCTATACGTGTTTAGTCTCTAAACAAGACATCATCAGGTAGTGAATAAAGTTCGGGTAAAGCTTGGTAGCCTAGTGATTGTCGGCAACCAGACCACAACTCCCATATTTATCCTACACATCAGCATGTGATTTTACCAAATTGCAAAACAGTCAGTTGGCGATAAAAACAAAATTACCTTACTTGAAAGGTAATTTTGTTTTTTTTAATGTCAGTGGTTCTCTGCGTTATCCAATAATAAAAAAAATCCTGACCGTATATATTTTTGCATGCTTTCCGCCATGCCTTGCACTTATTCTTACTGTTAGTACTTCATCACTAAATTGCTTTACAAATTCCAGAATGCAACTATAAAGTGGAATGTAAACACAGCTAACACAGAACGCCGTTGGAACTTATACCCTCGGGTAGAGGTAGGACCGGGTGCCTTTAAATCACCTATAGTAAATTACCCGAAAGATACTCTGAACCAAGACCTGAAGAAACTATTGAAATTGAAGAAGAAGATGGAAGGTGAACACAAGAGTTTGAATCAAGAAGATTGACAATAAACATTTACTTGCTGTTTATTTTTATTTAATTAAATTATTCATTTGTCTCCAATATTATGCAAAATTTTAAGATTCAAGTTATTTATTTTTTAAATGTTATATAGTTATTACCGAGCTAGACTTTGAAGAAAGTTATCTGTGTGGGTAAGATGGAGGTTCTTATCTATAGCACAGATAAGACAATATATTACATCCTATAGCAGCCGTCGAGTACCTTGTTTTGTAAGATGTATTCGTCTTACGTTTCAGGGGCTAATTATGGCCATGAAATTTCAGGTTACGGGCAGGAACAAGTCTTCCGGTACGGCAACCCATTAGAGGCACCTGAAGTATCAAATGTTTACATATCTAAGGTGTTGTTCATGTATATAGGCGACGGTTACCAGTCCGTTACTTCTTTGCTAACCAAATTACATAAAAACATTTAAAATAATATAAATAAATTTACAACAAAACACAAGATATGGCGCTAAATTTATGGAGTGTGGCCGACAGCTTCTTTGCCATTCAAATTACATAATAAGTATTTAAAATACTTAATATAAATAAATTTCAATACAATTTAATTCATTTCGATATATGTCTTTCAAGACAAGATATTACAGGCATCTTCATTGGCCCTATATTTCTAGACACACGTGTGGACCGCGGTCTTGCAATTGTCATAAATATATCTTAATGATCCCATGTGGAGACAAAGATTAGTATCGGTGCAGAATCGATATTTTATAGAACAGCAATAAAAAAATGCAGTACTGATACACAGACAGTACAGTACACAATACAGTAGATAGTACATCTACACTATGGTTCTCTATGACTAACGCTACGAATATAAAATGTTGAATATAGACTCTTGGTAAGGTGTGAACTTTCATTAAGAAAAAGTTTAAAACTTTCCAATATAAGTATCTAACAGGTTTGGCGGATTATGGCGAGGAAAATTAAGATGTAGGTAACAAGAATTTAGACAATATGTCTTTAAAATTGACAGTTATATTATATGTTTGTTGTATTATACAATAAATAATATATATGTAAGTATAAAAATGACAAAATGAACTGATTGCATTAAGAATGAGAGTGTAATGTTGTTTATTGCATGCCTCTTACTTGTTATTGTATAATTATTTACTTTAAAAAGCATTTATTCAAAAGAGCAACACAGAAGTTTCTTATTAATTATTCTTGTGATGAATCTTCATAAAAGATCGTGAAGATTCTTAAAAGAAAATAAAAAATATATAACTATTGAAAAGTACTTGTATTGAGTTTATTTGAAGAAAGATTATTTATATTCTATTCTAATCCTACATGAATAAATACCTTTTGAATAGGTATAAAATGTAAGAAACTATAACCTCTACTTAAAGTGATGTTTATGATCATGATCATTATTTATTGCTATCATATGCTAACGAACGTTTATTAAATTACATTTTTGCAAGCCTTTTTATGGTAATACGCATCGCGGGAGACAGCACATGTTGTCTACAAGTGTGATGCAGTTTTCAACGTTTTTTTTCACGCCAATACCACGGTATAAAACTGAATCCCGGGAGATACGATCCGTAGTATGGGTTCGTTCGTTCTATATTAAGATCGCCTTCGCTTGGCCTCGCAGCACGATGCGCGCGCGCACACCGACCGTCCGCACTATAAACACCAAACGTAGTACATATTATATTTTTTTTTATTACGAATCCGAATTCTCCAGACATCTATCTATCTATCGAAACAGGTGACGTGAATTTCCCAGTGACTTAGTGAGTGTTTAGGACGAAAAATATGGTAAGTGCCTTAATTTCTGTAGTAACAAAAATAGTAAGGTGATATCTAGTTTTTGGCTCTGGGACGTTGGAGCTCGCGTAACAAATTAAGCGGTTTTATAACTGGCGATATTTTGATTTGCAGTCTGTGATGTGAGACGAAGTGAATTGCTAAACGTATCTGTAACGAGATACAATAATTTACAAAGATGAAGTTCACGATTGATGTTCTAGGAATATTTCTAAAAGTAGTGGTCAAGGTACGTTTTGGTGTTAACTGAGTGTTGTGCATTGTTGAGTGTTGTATATGAAGTCGTAAATAAAAAAATATGTGCTTTTATTATAACTTTGTGACATGTAAACACAATCGCAAATAATTCGCTATTAACTAATATATTATGAGTTGTGAGGAATTGGATATTTGTTAATTGATTTTAGTTAAACGGATGAAGGAATAAGAATAAATTTTTGTAGAGATGTACGCAAAATATTGTAAATATGTATTATATATGTATACATAACAACCAATTGACAACATACTGTAGGGGAACGTGTATATCTTTATAAGAGGCGGATATTAACCTATTATGACGTAAACCAGGCGATTTAGTAGCAGGGTTTTCATTTCGAGTTTTTCTTATGTTACACTAGGATTATATAGTTTCTTCTTTTGATGTTTTCTAAATATTAACAGCAATGATGATACATTATATTTTTACTCCATGATTACACAGAGAGATATATTCATTAAAAAATCAAAACATTAGAGCGGCATCCAAAAACATGTATTATTTTAAAATTTATAAAATTAAAATATTTTTTTTTATTTGAATCATATACTTAGATTTATTATAATTCATAATTTAAGAGCCAACAATTAATTGCTAGACATTCAAATAATACAAGCGTATTGTAAATTACTGTACACAAAATCCAATAAGATGTTACACCTACTCATAACCTTGTCTACTAGAGATAAAAAATATTGACAATATTTTTAAAGTTTTAATATGTTTTATTTATAATTAATGACCTTCATGGTATAATCGTTTAGCGCACTGTCATTAACAATGACATTCCGATGGTCGCAGATTTGATCTATCCAAAAGACCAGCAGAAAAATCAGGAGGTCTACTCTGGAGTATAGTCACAATAACAACAGCGTAAATACTACATCATTGACTCAATACGCTAACAAATTAGTATTCGTGATATGACTTTACGTATTTTGAACACGGAAGTCCATTTGTATTCATGGTACTAGACCCGTTATAGAGACGAAAATAATGATTTAACATAATGCGGAAGGTTCAATGGATGTTGTCACAGTTTTTTTACTATATTCGATTATATACTCTAAATTGTAGTATGTAAGATAGATATTAGCAGTGTTAGTATCTGTTGGTTTCCATATACAAGTGTTCATTTGGGTAAAATATGAATTATATTGTAGTTTAAAATTTAGTTGAGGTATATTTTTTATACAGGTATATCGTGCACTAGCGGTACCTATACCAACCCGACTGAATGAAACACTAAAGTTATTTTAATATAAAAATATTAAAATAACTTTAGTGTTTCATTTAATTGAAAAATATTTTGTCAGTCAATTTGTACAGACACGCACATTTTTCATAGACCACAATAATACATCAGTTAATGTAACATTTCTTCTAATTCAACTTCGGAACCCGCCCATTGTTATTGTTATTTAAGTTATAATAAGATATAGAACTAAGTAAATTTAATTTTATTAATATATCTATAAAATGATAAATAATATAGTAAATTCTAAAATCAAATTGAAAATATAGTGATTTATTTAACGCGGGCTCTACAGAGTAGGTCTCAGTTTTAAGAGACATCGAAAAGAAAAAAGTATAATGTTTTTTTATAGTTGAATAATTATAACGGAAAGTATTTTTGCATACGTGGGTGTAGGCGGTTATTCTCAGTGAACATTTACATTCAAATTCAGGTAGCAACCCAGTATTATTGAAGAGTACGAGTCGAATTAACTAAACGTTTGTGCGAGTAGTTCGAAATTACATAATAATCTCTTTGTTTATTCTCAGTTGCTTTTGGCAGTATGCCATAGTTTCTTTGACTTGTTTTTTTTTCTTTCACCACAGGGGCGAGAGACCGTGAGATAAAGTGGTCTTTACTTATGAGTATGACCAAAAAGAAATTTATTTGTAAAACCACAGATAAGATTATATTACATAGTAAAACTATAGTTTGGAGTTTACTTGGCGTTGTTCTATATTTAAAATAATTACTTATATTGCAGTAATGACATATATTTTTCAGTTTAAATCCTAATAAAAATGGTCAAAATACAAAACTTTAAGCAACTTCGCCTAATTAAAATATAGCTGCAAAAATTTATTCTTGAAGGTTTTTGCTCTACGAATATTTCTGTAGGAGTCATTAGACTATATTCTACTAATTTGTTTACTGAAAATCACAAAAAACTGACTTTCGTGAATCACTTTCACACATCTTCGGGATAACATGTTTTTCTTTGGGTCGGTATTATTTAATAATAGCTCTACATACATGTTCAGCTTGAGTTAATTCAATTTATAAGGTATTTTTAGAACAAATTGCAATGAAATCTATCAACTGCCAGTAATGTTTTTGGGAACTAGTGGGGAATGGTTTTTACAGATTATGATCGTTGATTAAATGTTTTTTTTTTCGACACAAGTAGCATAATGATGCCGTGTATAACTTGAACATACAGTTTTATTTGAAAAGAGTTAGAATACACTTGTCATTCCTTCACGGTTAAAAAGAACTGACGATATATTTGAATAAGTAACTAATAAGAGTCTGTAGTAAACCTAAATGAATTAAGACAATTAATTTATAACAGTCTTTTACATTTGAAATAGTTAAATGAGTTATAAGCAAATATTATAAAATTACTGATCGTTATATGTATGTACTTACAATATCAAAATGGTAGAGATAAAACTAGGAATGTTTCCGTGAAATCTTCTATAGATTAGATATTTTAATAATTTATAGTATGTTGTTAAAAATGTTTTTTTAAATACATAATATAAATAATAAATACGAATTACACAAAATGACACAATATAATATATATACATACTAATATACCTACAATATATAGGTATATTAGTATGTAGTGTATTTTTTCGAGAAATTCCTATTTATTATTTATATTATTTGTCTAAAAACTATTGGTATTTTTAAAAATAACAATAGACTACACTTATTATTGCTATTTATGTTTATATAAATTAACATAATTAGTAAGAATAATTTTACTCTACTCTTATTCTAGTTAGATCAGTATTATAATAAGAAAATCAAAGTTTTCCGAATCAAAAGGCGGATCCTTTGATAGTTTCCATTCGGAAGATGTATTGACATTGCGATTGGTTTGCAGAGAGCATGCAATCAATACGAACAGATACACCGACGAAACTAGTTCGATACCATTGTATATATACGAGAGTGTATTTCATAAAGAAACGACAAACGATGTCATAATATTAATGATGACCTCGGTGGTCTAGCGGTTTAGCACACCGCTTTTCTTCCGATGGTCGCGGGTTCGATTTTCGTAGGGTGCATTTGTATTGGTGAGTATGATTGTTTGTACCGGTCTAGGTGTTTTCTATGCATGTTATGTATGTATTTATAGAAAAAATATCTAAGTATTTATAGCAGTTGTCTAATACTCATAATATAAGCTCTGTTCACCGTGGGACTAGATGGTACTTAATTGTCCAGGGTTATTTATTATTTATAGTGAAGTCTCAATTTAATGTCAATAACATAAACGCAAAGTCTAATAAAACGTTTGGGTTTTGGATCGATACAAACGAAAAAGTAAGTAGTAAGATACATTACCACATCACACATAAATACTCCTTAATAATTAATATTTGTCTATAAATATATTATGTAAACAGTCCCTAAGGTATCATCTAGCTATTCGATAAAAAAAAATTAAACTTATTTTTTTTTCATTTAATATTTTACGGCTCTGGATACAAGTCCTTTTTAGCCCAACATAAAATACAAAAACTTAAAAACAATTACAATTTCTTCACAGTGTTGGAAATAAATTTATATAAAGTCTTGAATAGTGCAGGCCTTGATTCATTATCAATATTTCCATCATCACTCAGTCCGAAATATAAGTAGATAAATTTTGTTTAAATAGATTCAAACTCACAAACTTTCGATCACAATAAGGATGATATCAAATCACTAGTCCGTGACGTTCTCAAGAGTATTAAAAACTGTAAAATGGAGCGTGTGTGATATAGGTCGGTATGTTCATGATTGCCTTTGATGATTGCCTTTTGCCAACGGTACTACTGCCGAGTAAATGGTACAGGCCGCGTCTGAAACTTGATTTGGGAAGTTGATGCATACAGAGTTGATGCGAGCCGGCAAACTTGCCACTTCCGTTGGTGAGCAGGGTTACCAACTTTACAACGACTCTCGTAGTGGTCCGAAAATTTAAGTCTTTGTTACGAGGTGAAGACAAAAATTAAATTTAGCGAAAAGTTTTTAAGATTTTATCCACTAAACATTTTGTAGTGTATAGCTTGATTTTAAAGCCCAGTATTTTAGTTCTGTACAACTAGGTAATTTCATTAGTTCAAAAAGTCAATGATATTAAAAGAAACTATTTAAACAATTAATCTTTTTATTTGATGAATACAGGAGTGGTAAGTGAATTTCAGTATAGAACAGTATTTTCCTTTACACTCCTATACTCGCTTATTAATAGGCGTGCAAATGTAAATATTAAACAATAAATTATATGTCAACAAAGTTAATGTTATAATAATTTTAAGACAGCAAAAATTCTTTTATTTTTTTTTAATCTGCCTTTTATTAGACGTGCTAATGTAAATATTAGACAATACATTATATTATACGTCGTCGTCAATAATTTCTATAAAATATTATAATGTTAATTTACATTATAATATATTTTATAGAAATTCTTTTCTTAGTTTAATTTAATAAGAATGGCATTAATTTTATACTGATACGGTTAAAACCAGATCGCTAAATGTTAAAAAAACGTAATAGCGCCATCTAGTAATTATTATAGTAATTAAAAACCATATTATTTTTTTGTTTTTTTTTTATACCTTGGTAGCAAACAAGCATAGGACTTATCTATCACGATGATTTACGAACGTTCTTTATTCTGAGTTAAAATGTTTTAGGATGGACAACCCTGTTGGTGGGAATGTTAAGT